TCTCCATCTGGAGGTCGGGGGTCTCACCACAACTTTCTAGCAGACTATCTAGAGAACCTTCTCTATTACGCTCCTCCCCTTGTGATTCTTGCGCGCAGAGGAATGCCATTTGAGCGGCTCTCGCTCGTCGTTGAGGGTTGAGCCTCGTTTTCCGTCGCGATCGTTTAACTGTTGGGTTGTCCTGTCCCAGTCGTGGGGTGGGGGGTCGTTGGCTTGAAAGTCCTAGACGGTCAAGGATTGAAACCGTGAGGCGATGTTCTCTGGATGGGTCAGATCCCTGCGTTCTCTCAAGTGATCTGTCCCTGTTGTTAGTTCTGTATGAATGATATTGACGAGGGGGGTCCAGTGGGGACTCGCCTCTCAGTATGTAGTCACGCTGCAAGACTCCCAGGAAGTGCTCAGCGGCCTCCACTACAGTGGGAGGAAGTTCGACTGGTTGGGTCTGTGAGACGCTAGCAACCAGTGAGCGTGAGCTCGGATGAATTGTCTCATCTTCTCGAGGATTTTCCAGGTTGACACCTCCATTTGGGGGCATTGACTGACCGGACAACATGCGAGAGTTAGGTCGATTGGGGGTTTCTCGCAGATCTTGAACGGACCGGCCAGTGTAAGTGTTACAACGAGTGCTCCCCATGATTAGGGTTTCGATCGTGTGTTTTAGGTTTGAGGGACGAACGTAAACTTTTCGTATCGGTCCCCACAGACGGCGCCAATGTTGGTTTTATGACTTTTGGGCAGTCAACGGCAGGCCAACACTACCGTTAGAATAACGAAAATATAGGAAAAATATAGGAGAAATATATGGAGAAAATATAGGAACTTTGTATTGAAGAGTATTGCTCGTGAATAGAGAAAGCTGTCCCCTTCCCCTCTATGTGAGAGGTCTATTTATACATATTTTGGGCCTTGAGCCCTACAAGGAATAAGAATTCTAGACTGCCTCATATTGGGAGTCTTAGTTACATTAGGAATAATAAAACCTAATTCTAATATATAAGAAATAATGAGTCCAATTCTGATTATATTGGAAATAATAAGATCAATACTTAGCGAACTCTCGAGTTGTTCCGTACTGGGTATCCTTCTTGGGCTTCCTTAATCCAGTTGCTTTCTTGGGCCAGTCCATGTGGCCCAGGCCTAGTGTATTATCCATCAGTATCTAACGGCATCCTAGCCACTTGATAATCATCCTTGTTAAACTTTGCAAGGATTTTATCAACATAATGAGATTGGCTTAACACGAGACCATCAAGTCTTCTCACGATTCTAATCCCGATGATTAAATCCGTCAAACCCATATCCTTCATGTCAAATCTTGAATTTAACATGTCCTTGGTAGATTTGATCATTCGATCATTACTACCCACGATGAGTATATCATCCACATATAAACAAAGAATGACATAACTGTCTATTGTTTCTTTAACGTAAACACACTTGTCACTTTCGTTTATATTAAACCCATTGATTAACATCGCATAGTCAAACTTCTCGTGCCACTGCTTAGACGCTTGTTTTAAACCATATAACGATTTAACCAATTTACAGACTTTCTTTTCTTGGCCCGGAACCGCAAAACCCTCATGTTGTTCCATATAGATTTCTTCAGCTAACTCGCCATTCAAGAAAGCTGTTTTCACATCCATGTGATGAACTTCCAAATTCCGCAGTGCGGCTATGGCAAGTATCATCCTTATGGAATTTATTCTCGTTACGGGAGAATACGTGTCGAAGTAATCAAGACCCTCGCGTTGCCTGTAACCCTTAATTACAAGCCTAGCCTTATACTTCTCAATGGAACCATCAGGTTTCAACTTCCGTCTAAAGACCCACTTGGATCCCAAGGGCTTACTATTCGGAGGAAGATCAACCAGTTCCCAAGTGTGATTCTGTAGGATAGAATCCACTTCACTTTTTATAGCCTCTTTCCACATTGGTCCTACCATAGAAGTCACAGCTTCTACATACGTTCGAGGCTCATTTTCTAACAAATATGTCAGAAAATCCGGTTCATTTTCTAGTAAACAAGTTAGAATATACGTGTCACATTCTAACATGTACATCATAAAATCTAGACCAAAGGATTTTTCAATCCTAACTCGCTTGCTACGTCTAGCTTCGAGCTCGAGTTCTTTTTCAGACCCTCCACTGCCATTATCCACAGCCTCGTCGAATGTTCGTTTCGACATACTAGGTCCCTCAACAGACCTACGCGGAAATACATCTTCAAAAAACGATGCATTCCTTGATTCAATTATCATGTTCTTACGTACGTCCGGATTATGGGACTCGTGTACTAAGAACCGATACGCACTACTGTTATGTGCATAGCCAATAAAGATACAGTCCACCGTTTTAGGAACTATCTTTATTTTCTTAGGTGTTGGCACCTACCGTTCCACAGCTCATAAGGAGTCTTATTGAGCTTCTTGCAGGGAACCTTATATAAAAGCTAGTTACTTGACAAAACTGCCTCACCCCACATACTTCGAGGTAGGCCCGAACTTATCAACATCGCATTCATCATCTCTTTCAATGTGCAATTTTTCTGTTCGGCAACACCGTTCGATTGAGGTGCGTAAGGTGCCGTACGCTCGTGTATAATACCTACACTTGCACAGAAGTCACCAATAGGTGCTTCGTACTCACCACCTCGATTGCTTCTAACCTTCTTAATCCTTCGATTAAGTTGGTTTTCCACTTCATTCTTATAAAGAATGAATTTTCCGACGGCTTTGTCTTTGCTCTTAAGCAAATACACATAGCAGTATCGTGTGCCATCTTCGATAAACATGATAAAATATTTATTGCCACCGCGCGACTGTATTGATCTAAAATCACATACATCACTATGAACCAACTCAAGTGGTTCCGTTTTCCTTTCAACCGATTTAAATGGAATTTTCGTTTGTTTTGCCTCAACACAAATCTCACATTTGTGCTTATCAACTTGGAATTCAGGAATATGGTCCAAGTTAATTTAAATGAAATTTTCGTTTGTTATGACCCAGTCTACCGTGCCACAAACACGAAGACTCAAGTAAGTAGGTTGAATTAATAACGCTTTTATTAATCACGGTTATTGCATCGAACTTAAAAAGCTCATCTAGCACATAACTCTTGCCTACGTACATTCCTGATTTCGACAAAACAACTTCGCCTGACTCAGACACTAATCGGAAGCCATTCTTGTTCAACAATGAGCCAGAAACTAAGTTCTTCCGTAGCTCCGGTATATACAAAACGTTGTTCAGAGTCAGCTCTTTTTCAGAGGTCATTCTAAGAACCACTTTGCCCATGCCTTCCATAGTAGATGGATACTGGTTTAGGCCATTCAGCCACAGCCTGTAGCTTAGAGGAGTCAGTATGTAATCCAGATCCAGAAATTATATGTCCAAGATATTCCATCTCCTCCTGTGCAAAGGATCACTTACTAAGTTTAGCTAGGAGCTTGTGTTCCTTCATAAGTTCTAACAATGCTCTGAGGTGACCCCAATGTTCTTCTAAGCTAGGGCTATATGAATTCAATACATTTAAATCTCAAATTCAAAAAAAAAAAAAAAAAAAAGAGCCCAAAAATGACCGTGTTTCCCTTGGATGGGAAAAGTATTGCCAATTTTATTTACCAAAAATGTCTAGCTTTATTATAGTAGAAGGATTAGTACACATTCATGAATAATTGACGGTGCTTTTAGCAAAAGAAAAAAGCGTTTTTACTAAGTCGAGTTTTTTCCACTCTTGGTCCTATGACTTTAGTGTCTCCGTCAACTTAGGTTCACAACTTTCATTCCTGATATAAGTAGTGCTTGACTTTGATTTTTTTTTTTCCACTTTTAGACCTTCCGGCCATCTGAGGGACTACTTTTAATCAGAATCAATAAATTGCCTTTTATATTTAGATTTAAGAGGGGTAAATAAGTCTTTCACCATCACTTAAACAATAAATAAAAGAAAAAGAAAAAAACTAAAGCTATCTAATTATCTTCTTCTTCTCGTATCTTCTCCCTCTCTTACTGTAAGCACACATGGACGAAACCTCTACAAAATATTCTTTTCAATCAGCAACGCCTGGACGAACTCAACGAAGAACAAGTATAATATTGGCGTATTGGGTAGCATTGCTTTTTTTTTTTTGCCCTAGTAAAGCAGTAAGCCCATATTAGCTGGTAACCAAACATCAAATGTGCAGAGAAATATAACAACTGCGTTCCACAAATACATGCAACTAAAACCCACAAGTTTTCAAAACAAAAGTGTCATTTATTTCAAACATAAAAAGTCCCAAATTTTCAAGCACACAAAGCCTAATCACAAGGAAGGAGGGGCAGCAGAGTACACCCCCCCCCCCCCCCCTCTCCAAAAATCCTTCGGACTAATAAGCAAAAACGGAGGGGAGGTGGAGCGCGGAAACTAATTTGCCAATATTATACAGTTATACTTGTTTCTTCATTGAATTTGTCCGGTCAATGCTGATTGAGAAGAATATTTTGCTTGATTTGAGTTAGGGTTTGTAGAGATTTTGTCCAAGTGTGCTTATGGTAAGGGAGGGAGAAGATACGCGAAGAAGAATATAATTGTAAATATAAAAGGTAATTTATTGATTCTGATTAAAAGTAGTCGCTCAGATGACTAGAAGGATTAAAAGTGAAAAAAAAAAACCAAAATCAAGTACTATTGTACTACTTATGTCAAGAATGAAAATTGTTAACCTAAATTGAAGTAGACTCATAGAACCAAAAGTGGAAAAACCTCTTACTAAGTCACTTGATATTTTAATTTGTGTTAATTATCGAATACCGTTGACTATAGCTAAATTACCAATTTGGTCCCAAAGTAACGATTGACTAACAATCAAACATACGGAGGACCAAATTGATTAAAATTTTTAAAGTTAAGGGGCTTAATTAGTCAAAAAAAATAGTCAAGAACCAAATTGATAATTTTGCTATAAGTAAGAGACCATATTGGTAATTAACTCTTTTAATTTATTTTTTCACATAGGCAATTAGTGGAATTTGTGCACTCTCCTCAAATTTCCTTGTGAGTTCTGGTAGAGCTGGTTCCCGCCTTTACTGTTCCGCAAGCTGACTGAGAGATGGTACGGCGTGGTGGGAAGAAGGAAGAGAACGCTCCGCTACCGGAAAACCCGGAGGTGGAGGAGCGGAAGAGGCTGAAGAAACTTGCATTCTCGAAGAGGATGCTTTCAGAGACACCTGTGAAGGCGGCGACGGCGGCTGGGAATGCTCTGCAACCATCCAAGACAGTGATCAAACATCACGGCAAAGACCTAATTCGCAAGTCTCAGCGCAGCAAGAGCCGTTTCCTCTTCTCGTTCCCTGGGCTTCTTGCCCCCGTTTCCGGTGGCAAAATCGGCGAGCTCAAAGATCTTGGTAGCAAAAACCCTATTCTGTACCTCGATTTCCCTCAGGTAAGTCACGTACATGTATTTCGAAAATATCATACTTGCCAGAGTGCAAATTAAGCAATTAAAATTACTCAGTTAGCTAATATTTGCATTTTCTTCGTTGAATCTCAAATATAATTATGAGGCTTTTTTTTTTTTTTTTTTTTTTTTTTTTTTTGTATTCACTTTAATTAATGGTTTATTTATTTACATTTGGTTATTAGCGCATTTGTGTTTGCAAGTTAAGAAAAGGAATAGTACCGAAATTTCTTACTGAATTCAGTTTCATTGGTGTGTGGGATACTAGTAGGTGAAAGTAGAGTACTTCAAAGCGGATACTAACAAACAAAATTCAAATTGTTTGTTTAAATTATTTTAGAAGGGAAAGGGCTTAAGGTCTTTTATCTTGTGGTCAGCATTTTAGTTACAGTCAGATCTTTTCATAGAACAATGTAATTAAAGACTTTGGGTTTTTTAGTTATCAAGCTTGTTACAATCTAGAATATGATTTTGGTTGATAGAAACTTAAGCATATTAAATCTTAAATTTTCCATTTTGTTTGAAGATGAAATGATTTATGCTATAACATTCAATAGGAAGGTTATAAATTAGAAGAGGTTTTCGTAGAATTTAATTCATAAAATACTCCCTTGAAGGAAAAATTCTTGTGCATGATAAAGTAACAAAATAAGGTTGGACCTAGTGTAAAGACTTGGGGAAGAAAGGTGCATGTAATGTTAACCATGTATACTAAGTCATTTTTCTGATGAAGATGATCTCTACTTGCAGTTAAATAATGTGTTACTTACTGTCAGGTTGACTAGTCAGAAAGTTTGTGCTTTGTGGCTGAAAGTTTTTGATTCACCCATGTGGTTTTAAGTTAAATGCGTTGCAGATAACATTGAAAATGAAAATAAAGAAAGAAGGGAATGTGCAGGCTGAAATTTCCCTTTTCTTTGTTGCATTTCTAGCTCCAATTTGTTTAATGGGGAGACAAGTTCATAGTTGTGGTGGTTAATTTTTCATGTGCAGGGCCAAATGAAGTTATTTGGGACAATTGTTTATCCAAAAAACAGGTATTTGAGTCTGCAGTTCTCCAGAGGTGGGAAGAATGTAGTGTGTGATGATTACTTTGACAACATGGTAGGATGTTTCACTCTTTCTGGAAGTCTCTGTAATTCCCTGCCCCACTTTACATATTTATTAGAATTATAGGAAATTGATGTTTGCATTTTTTCCTATTTCCATCTTGAAGTTTACCAAATAGTTGTAGGCATGCATATTTTCCTGCTTGTATGGCCATGAACTTAGAGGATTTTCACAATTATCGTGCTTTTTTTTTTTTTTTTGCACATATCTATCTCATGTTTGAGAAAATGAAAAGAAATTGCCTGCAGCTAATGGCTATTTCTTTGATGCAATTCAACTGATGAAAGGATTTGTTTTAATACTAATTAGTTTTTCCTTCTATTCTATTCCTATCATTTTGTTGACTTATCTGTTATCTTCTTTGTTTTTTAGATTGTGTTTTCTGATGCATGGTGGATAGGGAGGAAAGATGAGAATCCAAATGAAGTGCGTCTTGAGTTCCCAAAGGAGTTGAATGTGGTTAGTCCCCTGTTAAGTTTCTTTAATTCCATTTTGTTTTGCATGACAAATTTTTTTTTTGGGTTTACTATGCCTGCTGTTGCCTTGTACTATAGAAATTCTTGATGGTATTTGTTCACTCCAGCACCAGAATGCGGAGTATGATTTCAAGGGTGGTGCTGGTGCAGCATGTAATGGAAAAGAGGGGATTAACAGAACAGGGATAAATTTTGCAGAACAAGAATCTCCTAAACATGAACAAGAAGATGATTCTACAGAAGATCAAAGTAATGTCAGAGAATTCTTTGATATAACTCCAATTCGGCATTCAGCGAGGACAGCTAAAAAAACATTCAAGTATTTTCTTAACTTATTTCCTCGTTTACTATTTCTAGTATTGATCTGTATAATGATGTTGCTTGTAACTTTTAATGCCAGCAATCCATTGTGGCTTTTTTCAAATGATATGAAAGTGAACAGAATTATAGGGCAACAGGGCATGACTGCAATGTAACTGTAATTTGTCTATTTATATTAATTAATACAGTGCATGGATTTTATAGAATGCATGAAGACCACATAAATCAATATAAGTAAATAATATGTTAAAAATGATAGCTGCTTTAGCCATATTCATTTACTGGTAAGGAAAGATAAGAAAGAACATGCCAGATTGCCAGTTCTGATTTCAGAAAAAAAAAAAATCTTACATGTTCATGAAAGACTGACATATTGCTGTCATTACTCTTGATATTATAGTTAAGGACCCAAAATTAGAAGGCCCAAAGAAAAGTAAAGTTGACAAACAGCTGCTGTAAGCAACTCTCAACATCGATTCTTTAGTTGAGATTTTAAAATTAAATGTGGAATATGTTTCCTGATTACCGAAATTGCTACTGATTAAACAGAACCTTTCTTGTATAAGAACATATGTGGCCAGTCCTGTGAAATTAAAGCAGATGAAAAATTATCTATCAACAGTTTAGATGTACTTGTTTATGAGAGGATTCCTCATGTTCTTCTATTGATTAAAACCCTCACTGTTCATTACTGTTGCTGCTTGACTTGAGAATGTCTCAGTTTTGCAGATGCTTCTTCTGGCGATGATTTTGTTGTCAGTGATGCTGAAACTTCAGATGAAGAGGAACAGAAAGTTGGTGTTAATCATTCAAACAGGAACTTTACTTCTAAGAATATCCTTTTCGTACTTATTAGTTTATTAAATAGTTTATTTGTGCTTTACCTTGCTCCTTTATTAAACCCTTCCATTTTCCTTTTGTACCTAGCTCCTTTATCATTGAGTTATTAAACAGTTGCTTACTGTCCCTTTAACTAGTAAATCCCCTCGTCAGCTCCCACTCCCTAAAAGGCCTAAATGAAGAAAGAAGAAAAAGGAAATGAAAAAAAGAAACACAAAGGAAAGCAAAAGCAATATGCACAAACTTTCTACTCACCTGCATACCTGATATGTGACTGGTTTTTTACATAATAAGAAAAATGTCATCTGCCACTGCTGAATGTTTGTTCCCTTAAATATCCTCACAGAAAGAAAAATCGCCTGCTGCAGTCTTTGATGTTGACAAGGATGTAGTTATTCTAGATCCATGTGCTGAGAAAAGTACACCTGGTGCCAAAGTAGCCTCTACATCCAAGGAGCTTCCTCACAGTAATCACAGTTCTCTTGTTCAAGCAACTATATCTACTATGTTTAAGAAAGTGGAGGAGAAGGTATTGATTCTCAGCTTCAACCATAGATGCAGGGTTTTTACTCTGTAGTAAAGAATGATTAGCCAGTTTTTAATCTCCAACTATATGCCGTGGTTGCTAAACTAAAACTGCATAAATGCCTGTGATTGATATATTAGATAACAACTCTTGCATGTTAGAACTTTTCTGAAGTTTATATTTTCACTATGGAGTATATAACTTCCCATCAATTACAATCATTAAATTGTCTATATTTATCCACATTTTCCATCTCCAAGCACATACTATGGTTGCTAAACTACTACTCACAGAAGACAAACAAAAGCCATTTTGCTTAAATAAAACTGGATAGATGTCCCAGATTGATATCCTAGACATGAACTTTTAAATGCTAATACTTTAACTGAAGTTGTCATGTAGTATATGCTCTGCTATCGAATACTATCCTATATATGTATGTATTTATGTATGTATGTATAGCACCTATATACTCTGATATTGTAGTTATTCACTTATTCATCCCCTTTGCAAAGCACAAGCACCATAACTGATTTGATTGGGCACCCAGATCTCAAGGAAATCTACTAAGTGGACATATGGATAGGACTATTTCTGATTAAGCATGTGCAATACAGCAACCATGAAACTGCTTTCTAGCCTAACTCATGCAAAGTTTTAACTTATAAGCACTGCCTGATATTGATGATAGGTTGCAACTCCTACAAGTCATTGGCACAAGTCAACACAGGCTGTTCATAGTATCTTATGGTAGAATCTCTAAGGCTTTAATTTCTAGAGTCATTTAATTAGCCCCTCACTTCACCATGATTGGATTGAAGTATAGAACATGCCACAGACATGTATTCTTGCAGTGATGCCATTATGATAAGTTGTTCCCACTTTTAAAGAATTCAGTTCTCCATTTATTTTACATCTTAAGTAAAGATTAACTTCAACTTATCAATATAAATGTCTCCAGAAATCTATGATAACTCAGTGCTGTTTATCTTTTTATGTTTAATCATTGCATTATTGTATTATGTTAGACTATAGGTATCGATCCATCTATTTGCTCTATGATGTTGTTGCAGACTTGCAGGAGCTTATCCTTCCATCTTCTTTTGTTTGCAGAAGGAGCTTACAGATCTAAAACAGAAGATTGTTCATAAGAAAGTGAGATATTTTCTAGTCTTTACTGTTTGACTAAATATTTTTTACTTTGACACCAATCTTTCTGGTCAGAGAAATGTTTCAGCTGTGTGGATTTCTTATTTGATCTTTTCCTAGGAGCGTTTAAGTTCCTGATGCATAAGAGGTTGATGTTTTGCAGGTTGCATCATCCAAGAAGAAGGGGAAAGTTGGTGAAGAAACTAAAGCTGGTAGGCCATATTTTTGCTCACATGCTCACTCGTTTTAGTAGTTATAGCATTTTTTGCATTATGGGAATTTATGCGATTGCATCTGAAAATTGTTGGTTCTATAACAATTTTTATTTCTCTGGTCTCTAATTTGTGGATAGCAGTGTATAAGTGGGCTCAGAAGGCCAGATAGTTATGGTCAACCCCTTTTTGAAATGTTTGTGAAAACATGGAAAAAGATAAAGAAAAAGTGACATTACTTTTGCAGTGTCAATTAAGTATGATGACTTGCCCAATATGGGATTGGTAAGTTGATTATGGAATTGGAAATGTATTTTTCAGAATGAAAATTGTAGCGGTTCTTTTTTTGTGCGAGAAAAGGTAGTATATATTTTACCCTGTGAGGCCATTGTTGTTATGGTTGTTGTTTTTGTTACGAAAGTGAAGAGAGAGAGAGTTTCTAATGTGTTGTCGTATATTGTCTCAAACTGTTATATAGAAAAGAATAGGTGCTAGAAGACTACGAATAGGAAACAAGTTTCCATATGTTCTACCTATCTAAAACCCTAAACTGCCTAATATATAGAGATTCTATATAACAAATATATATTCCATAACACTCCCCCTCAAGTTGGAGCATATATTTTAATAATGCCCAACTTGTTACACAAATGAGTGATAACCCAAAATAACTAAATAACAAATAACTCAAGTCCATTTAGGACACTCCTTTGAAACGAAAGCTTTGAACGCCACCTATCAACGGGTGAACACAAAGTGACCGAACAAGCTTGGGATTGGATGCTCCCCCTGAAATGAAAGCATCGAACGCCACGAATCCCACGAACAACTGGTGAACACAAAGTGGACCGAACAAAAGCTTGAGATTGGATACTCATACTCCCTCTCCAACGAAAGCTTTGAACACCACCAATACCACAACTCCGGGTGAACTTAAAGTGGACTGAACATGCTTGAACACACAAGGTGTAGAACGTATGTAGTGACGTGTCTATCTATTAAACTGAATGAATAAACCTGCTGTACAGAGAAGCCTATATATACAATCTAATAGTAAGACTCAAGCCACTCATTTGAATTTCAAAATGAGTAGCTGAGAGCAATCCACTAACAATCTTCTAACACTCCCCCTCAAGTTGGAGCATAGATATCAAACATGCCCGACTTGTTACATATATATAGAATCCGACTCCTACTAAGCCCTTTTGTGAATATTGGTCACCACTCCTGACGTGCGTAACAGATATTAGCCCTTGTTCCACTTTCTCCCGTATAAAACGACAGTCAACCTCGATATGCTTCGTCCGCTATTGAAAAATTGGATTATTTGCGATGTGTATGGCAGCAGAATTATCACACCACAAATCTACCGGTAACTTCACTTCGACGCCCACTTCTTTTAGAATATTATGCACCCGGGTAATCGTGAGGTAATTCAACTTTCCTACTAACCTCCTGTACCTCTCCGGATCTTCAAACGTCTCTCCCTCACCTGCCAACAACTTCACACCTTGTTCGATGGGCGTGTCACACGGCTTCGATCCTAGTAACCCCGTGTCATCGAGCAGGTCTAATACATATTTCCTTTGTGAGAGAAATATGCCCTTCTTAGAGCGTGCAACTTCAATTCCCAGAAAGTACTTCAGCACTCCCAGGTCTCTAGTACGAAACTCAGTTCCGAGGCAGGATTTGAGAGCCTCGATTCCACCTGCATCACTGCCTGTAATTACAATATCATCTACATACACTATCAACAAAACACACCCATAGTTAGTATGTTTGTAAAAGACAGTGTGATCATATGCACTCCTCTTCATTCCTGTTGAAACACTAGGCCCGTTAGAGTGGGCCATTAGGTTATAGCTTTTCCTGTATAAATTATTGTAATCTGTACAACACTATTATGAGAAATAGATGAAACCTTTCACTCTTTCACATGTTATCAGAGCCTAAACCCTAAAATTCTATCCCTTTTCCGGCGCCACCACTGCCCATCGAAGATCCACTTCACTATTCCGACGGCTGACTTGTGGCTTTTCACCCAAACCGAGCCTACAGGCCTCATTGGAACAGTGTCGAGAGCCTAGGGCTGAAGTCCGGTCGTCGATCGCTGCTGCATGTGCCGCCACGCGCCACCGACGTCGCTGGACAGCCGCCTCGTTTTCCGGCCAGATCTCCCTCCTCCGATCGAGACACCGTCACCACCGTTGGACTCGTCTCGACGAGACCCTTCAAACAGTGTTGTTCGTTTCCCCTGCCGCCGATCACCGCCTCAGATTAGTGTGCTGGATTTTTGTTGGTAATCTCTATGGCTTCATCTTTCATCTCTTATCCCACCATTACTATGGACAAGTTGGTTGGGAGTGAAAATTACACTTCGTGGGTTGCATCTTTGAAACTTTGGTTCAAAGGCCAAGGTATGTCTCTAACCAAAAAGGTTGAAGACATTGAAGAATCGAAGAAATTAGATTGGGAAAAGTCAGATGCGTTATTATGCAACATGTTGTGGCAATCCATTGACCCTAAACTCTATCTCATCTAAAGTCTTATGAGATTTGTTATGATGTTTGGAATAAAGCTAAGTCACTGTATACTAATGATATCCAAAGGCTGTATTCCCTAATAGCTAATATGCTTAATTTCCGTGGGACTGCTAATATGAGTACACAGGATTTTTTGGGCCGGATTGAAGCTTTACAACAGGAGTATAATAATTTAATGCCATATCAGGAGACAGCAGAAAATCATGCGAAGCAGTGTGATAAGTTCTTCATGGTGTTGACCTTGGTTGCCCTTCGGCCTGACCAGGTTCACGTTCGTGATCATATTCTATTTAGTCCTAATGTGCCTACCTTCACTGAAACCGCTGCTAAACTGCTTCGTGTTGCCTCAGCTCCCTCAATTGAGCCTATTGGAGAATTATCGGTTCTAGCTACTCGGGCTACGGATAGAGGACCCTCTGGACCATCCAGTGGTGGTGGCGTTCGTTGTGGCAGACGTCCTCGGTGTGAATACTGCCACAAGCATGGTCATACCAAAGATCGTTGGTGTTGGTTGATCAGGTTTCACTCACAATTCTGGGCTGATGCTATCATTACTGCTTGTTACCTGATCAACGATCTTTGGTATGACCATCTTTGTGGCAGTATTCACACCGAGGATGTTTGCCACGACGAACGCCACCACCACTGGATGGTCCAGAGGGTCCTCTATCCGTAGCCGAGTAGCTAGAACCGATGATTCTCCAATAGGCTCAATTGAGGGAGCTGAGGCAACACGAAGCAGTCTGGCAACGGTTTCAGTGAAGGTAGGAACATTAGGACTAGATAGAATCTGATTACGAATGTGAACCTGGTCAAGCCGAAGGGCAGCCAAGGTCAAGACCATGAAGAACTTATCACACTACTTCGCATGATTTTCTGTTGTGTCCTGATATGGCATTAAATTATTATACTCCTGTTGTAAAGCTTCAATCCGGCCCAAAAAATCCTATGTACTCATATTAGCAGTCCCACGGAAATTAAGCACATTAGATATTAGGGAATACACCCTTTGGATATCATTAGTATACAGTGACTTAGCTTTATTCCAAACATCATAATAAGTCTCATAAGACTTGTAGATGAGATAGAGTTGCATAATAACGCATCTGACTTTTCCCAATCTGATTTCTTCGATTCTTCAATGTCCTCAACCTTTTTAGTTAGATGATTCGACATACCTTGGCCTTTGAACTAAAGTTTCATAGATGCGGCCCACGAAGTGTAATTTTCACTCCCAACCAACTTGTCTATAGTAATGGTGGGATAAGAGGTAAAAGATGAAGCCATAGAGATTACCAACAAAAATCCAGCACACTGATCTGAGGCGGCGGTCGGAGAACGGCGATCGGCGACCGGACTTCAGCCCTAGGCTCGCGACATTGTTCCGATGAGGCCTATAGGCTTGGTTTGGGTGAAAAGCCACAAGTCAGGCGTCGGAATAGTGAACAGTGGCGGCAACGGCGGTGGATCTCTGATGGGCAGTGGTGCCGCCGGAAAAGGGATAGAATTCTAGGGTTTATGCTCTGATACCATGTGAAAGGTTTCATCTATTTCTCATAATAGTGCTGTACAGATTACAATAATTTATACAGGAAAAGCTATAACTTAATGGGCCCACTCTAACGGGCCTAGGGTTTCAACAGAAGCAAGTTCTGAACTTGAATGCTTATGAGGTTACATTTTTTGTCTTGTACCTGTTATATTCTCTCCTTCTAATTTCTCATGACCAATTCACTGTTCAACAATATGGCACTAAAATTCAAGTAACTAAGACCTGTTGTAGCCTTATAGGATTTTGACTTTTCATTTTTCCTTTAAAGTTCACTTTTTTATAGTTAATATTTTGTTTCTATTTCTTGCAGGGAGAGGAGGGATCACAACAACAAAAAAGCAGCTTGAGGTCCTGCTATTTTCATCCTTGTTCCTTATTCTTTTGGTTTCTTTTTATAATATGAAGCTGACTTTTGTAGTTTATTTATTTATTCTTAGGTCTGTGTAGGAAAAACATGCCTTAGTGTCTTTTCTTTATTTTTTGCCATAAGGCCTCAAAACCTTCCATGGTTTGCATTAGGTGGAATTGGAGCTAATAGCTTTTGGAGTGCTTGATGTGACAGAATATATAGAGAAGCTAGGTGAATTCTAGAATTGGAAATGAAGATATGCTTTTATTGCTAGTCCAATATATAAACATAGGAACAATACAAAAGCATTAACTTGTAAAAACACTAATCTAAGAAACTAAAACTATGAAGAGGAATCACAACTAAACAATGTAAGCTAAGGAAATAAAGCTATTAGGGCACAACTTAAGGTGGAGCTTATTTGGGCCAAACTGTAAATGGACCTCAAGTAGAGCTCAACCTCTCGAATTAGTAAAGTAGCTATTTTGGGAGAGGATGCCCAAGGCCTTGTGAAGATTTAATTGTGTTTTTCCCATGGTTATCAAGGCGTCACCTAGGCGCCGGCCCTTGTGCGACTTGTTCTTGCCTTGGATCTCAGCAACCCCATTTTAAACCATGAGAACACTATGCAAATATCCAAAAGTTTGTCATCTTTATAGAACTTAAACTTCATTGGAGAGGAACCAACAACTCGTTAAAAATTTATCAGTTCATATTGATTCCTCTAAAGTTAGTATTTTGGTGGCTCTGCAAATCCATCTCTGTCATGGCATTGTGAGGTTGTTGTTACTCCTGATGGTGCATCCCCTGTTTTATGGAGGCTAATTCAATCTGGCATTAACTACGCTAAAGGATTTAGTACAGGAACTTTAACTGGCTTAACTAAATTGGTTTATGGTGTAAATTGACTATAATTTTGTAGAAAGCATCAATTGCTGCAAGTCTATTTCCAATCATGTGGCCAAGTTGCAAATGCAATTTCAGGTCTGACGTCTGAACTCTACCAAATAGATTAGCTGTGGTTGCACATTAAAAGGAGAAAAAAAAAAAAACAGTTGCAAATGTGTTAAATTCACATCAAGCAAATATTAAAGTTTTCTCTTTGAGGGTTGAAAATGTATATTGTAATTTGCATTTACCTGGCATCTAGAGGGCGCTTTATTTTACTGATTGATTAGTTGCACAGATATATATCTTTTTTTTTTCTTTCTTTTTTTTTTTCTTTTCCTTTTACTAACTTTTAGATGCTAATATAAATTTTCACTTTATTTTTGTGTTGTTTTCTCAAGCTGAGTATTGTCTGAGTACTTTGCCTCCTTTCAGCAACATTTGAAACTTAAGTGTTTTAATGGGTTCAGAGGCTGAGAATACCTTACTTTTCTTATCTGTTAAAAATTGATCAAATGGCTGTATAAATTCTTGTCTGAGTAGACATTATTAATGGATAACACTAGTACTTCTATAATTGTTAAGTTCTTGGCAATATGTTGCTTACCTGAATGGCCTCATTTATTGTTCTCATGGTCATAAACTCATAAAGATTGCAACAATGTTAATTCTTGAATGGGAGTTAGCTGTTTTTGAGAATTTGCTTAGGCCCAGTTCGGATGCGCTTATTTGGTCTTATCAACTGCTACAAGCATTTCACCAACTACAAAGAAAGGGCACTAAAATTACAATTATTCTTAATTCTTTCAGTTACAATATAGCTCTATGCTGTCTGAATCTATCCTAAAGTCTTAACAAAGTTCTGGAAATTTATGATAATTGTGGTGCTTTGTAGACCGACATAGATTCTTCTATCAATTTCAATTGCATTATGAGGGAGTAATTCCTTTGCAAGTTGTTCTGTATTTGGTATATCGACTATGAAGCACAAACTTCTATCTGAATGAGAGCCTTTTATAGTCTAGATGAAAGGGGTTGAGCTTCTTTTTGATGTACTCTGCAGGCTGAAGATGAAGAGATAGAAGAGTTCTCCAGTACATCTCAGGTTAACTACTTAATGCGAGTTTTACATTTTGATATTATAATGGCATGTGACATGGGAATGAAATGGATTAAGGAATGGAATGAAGGGAGAATTAAATTAATTTCATCACTTGTAATGCAACGAAGGGCAGCCTTGATGCTAACCTAGAGATCATAATTGGAATTAGCCAAAACTAAGGAAAGGCTACCCTGCGGGTAAAGTGATCTTTGTGCCCTGGACTGCCCTTGTTATTTTTATTCGATTCTATGGGTTGGCATCAATAACAGCAAACTCTAAGGTTGTGAAGTAATCTTTAAATGCCCATATACCTTTGTTTTAAAAGGCCACAAAAAACAACAGATCTTCTGCAACTTTCTAATGTCATTGTCATTCTCTACGTCCACCATAGATCCGAGGTCCTTACTGCTCTCGGTTTTCTCATCATGAAACATAACTATCTTGTATACTTTGTTTGGAGATTGAAGCCTAAATTTCTCTTCATTCTCCTCCCATTTGGGGAAGGAAAGATATTCGGTAGGATAGAGATTATTTCTCCCCCATTTTCTTTCTACCTAAACTGGAGAAACCAAAAAATGTTCTTCCTATTTTCCTTTCCCCAATTCTCACTCATCCAGACACAAGTAAATATTGTGTAGAGCCCTAGTGAACAGTCTTGTGGGTATAAATTTATGCGGAGCAATACTGTTGTATGATAAGTGATGTAAGAATTTCAATTTTATGATATTTACCCATAATCAATGCTGCAGAAGGCTCTAGTCGGGCACCCGGCCGAGTAATCCGAGTATATCATCTCCATTTTTCCCATTCAGGGTTGGGAGTTGTTAGACTGTTATAATCTCCCAAACTAGTCAATTGCATATATTAGATGGTTAGTTGAGTATATGGTTGAAGGAATATATAAGTGGAGTAGCCGAGCAGGCAAAAAAATCTACTCGGCCGAGTTAGGCGCCCAACTTGGCTCCTAGGGCACCTAGTCGACCGGCCGACTAAAAGCTGCCTATGGCTAAAATCGCCTCGGCCTAGGGGCACCTAGCGCCTATTCGGACGCTTAGGTCGATTGTTACAACACTTTCCATAATAATTGTATTCTATTATTATTTTTATATACAGGATATGGACATGGATGGAAGTGATGAAGATTGGACTGTTTGAGATTTTTTCTGCCATTGCTATGATCATATGGTAAACACTGGCTTATATTACTGCGGTTTACAAATTAGCTATTGGCTTCTCAGAGAATAGATAATAGTGCAAATATTGTCTTTCAAAAGCTTTGTAGACATTAGGGGAAAGTTACAGAAATTGTTGTCATGCTTGGAACGAAAGAGTTTCATGAATATTTTGTGATTCAAATCTAACATTGTAGCTATGGGATACTATTTGATAGTCATTTCACTCAAATCTCTTTGTTGGTTCTGTCTGATACTATGATACTATTATTATTGCTTTTGAGCTTTACTATACATTTATTTGGGAATTATTAACTTATAATGCATAATAAGAATATAAATCTGATGGAAGTATCAACTTGAGTAGTTAGTCTCTGTACTATTTTAATTTAAACACCAGATATTGATATTTCAATTGGAAGGAGAAACAAGCAACTGGAAGGAGATAGAGAAGAATAGAGAATTTGGGGAAAAAGAACTAGGGTTTCATTAATTCCAAAAGCATAAAGAAAAATCCCCAAAAACTGTCCAGAAATAATACTTCATAATTTGCTAATACATCAAAATTCATCTTAACAAACTCCGGATTTTGCTCTCCTCAGCCACCTTCTGCCTTATCTTCCTTGCCGTTTGTCTGAATTGACCGTTAGGCCTTGCGTAGCTAAACGACGTCGTTCCTTCCAATTCAAACGACCTTCAACGACCTCTGCTTCCAACGACGCTGTATCAGTAAGTAATTAGTTTATTTTTTCCCCAATAGCAAACGACACCGTTTTGGTCCTTCGACTTCTAACAACTTAGTTTCAACAACTCATTTCAAACCCCCATATACTACATCTTGCATTCAGATTGTCTTCCACCTGCCATGTCCGTTACACAATGTAGCGTACATTCAACTATTCATGTGTATTTGTTTTGTGCACAATTGGGTACACGTGTGTAAACTACCAATACTATATACTATTTATTTGGAATTTTGCTTGCGAATATTCGTTATATGTGCAATTTTGTGTGTATTTATGCATTGAGTTAATAACCAAAATAGTCCTTCGACTATGCCGTAATTATCAATTTGGTCCTTGACTATTATTCTTATCTAATTAAATACTCACCTATGTAACTTTTACCCAATTTAGTCTTCTGTTAATTTGACTGTTTGTTGACTGTCAAAAGTGGAGATAAACTTGTAATTTTACAAGCTTTCTCCTTCCTCCTCATTTAGCAGTAAACCATGCAGCAATAAGCTTCGATCGGCTTCCAAACCTCTCAGTGTCGAAGCAGTGGTCGTGCATCAGAGAGCCCAAGAATTTGATTTCCAACTATTTTTTGACGGTCGGAAGCCGATCGGAGCATATTGATGCATGGTTTGGCGCTGCTAAATGGGGAGGAAGGAGAAAGCTTGTAAAATTATAATTTTATCCCCACTTTTTACCGTCAAATTAACAGAGGACTAATTTGGGTAAAAATTACATAGTTTAGAACTTAATTGGGTAAGAATGATATTCGAAGTCCAAATTGATAATTACGGCATAGTTGATGGACCATTTTGGTTATTAACTCTTATGCATTTCTATATATTTATGTGCGAAATAGCCACTGTATGTCATTATATCGCTAGTGTTAGCACTGTGGCTTATTTTGTTAGTGTTCTGTGTGCATTTATTTACTTATTTGGAATCTTGATTGCGAATATTTGTTATATGTGCAATTTTGTTTGTATGTCTGTGCATTTCTGTATATTTATGTGCAAAATGGCCACAGTGTTTGCAATTATATCACTAGTGTGCGAATTGTGGCTTACTTTGATAATGTTATTTGTGCATTTATTCACTAAAGTGGTGTGCATCCGTGTCTGTGGATCTAGGTGTGTAGTGTTTGCGTTGACACCCATACGTGTGCTCATATAGACAACAAGATACGATCTCGTCAGTATACTCAGTGCCGGAAACAAGTTGATACAGCGGATGACGATTTTGTCACTCATTCATTTGCCCGCCGCAGGCTGAACCGGAGTGGCAAGTGTCGGATTATGTGTTGACAGAGGTTGAGTTGTTTCTTAGTATGAATACTCATGTTTGAGCACCTCGTCACATTTTGTAAACCAGTACTTAGTAGAACCTGGCGAGAAATCCATGTCACAACTGTGTGCCCTGCCGCCAGATGACTTACTACCTGCAATTTTAATGAAAAATACAATAAGCATACGTAATCACCTGTGCATTAGAGCATCCATACTAAAAGTTTTTTCATGATTTTTTTGATGAGTTAGAAGAGAAAGATGGTGATTTGGAAGAGAGATGAAAGAGGAGAGAGGAGAAATTGTTTTTGTAGAAGGAATGATTTTTTGTTGCCCCCAGGAGGAGAGGGTAAAACAATAGCAATCTGCAGGTCATGCGTGTTCAACGCACAAAGGCACCTAGAGGGAGGCGCATGTACTGCACGCGCCCAATCCTTTTTTTATTTTCAGTTCTAACATTTGTTCCTAATCATCATACCTATAAAAACTCCTAAAAAACTACAATTGTTTTGGATGCTCTTACAACACAGTAATCTACACACACCATGATTCGTATTTGCACAAACAAGCACCCCCACCCGCGTTGCCTCCATTCCACACACTGTTCCAAAATACGTCTACAGTCAATGTGTGGTGCCGTAGTTCCACAGCCACGCACACACCTTTAGCGGTTCTGTGTCATCATTTGTTCTAACTAGACTGACATGGTGCAAAATGAAACTTATGTACATGAAACTATTATAATGAAACTAAAGTATAATTAAACTAAAAATGAAACTAAATAATATAATAATATTATCAAATGAAACTACAGTTTCAGTTTAATTAAAATAATACGACATTGTTTTGCTTTATTATCCATGCTGCTACATGGACTATGGTCCCCAGTAAAATTTGCCCTTAAAGCAATAGAATAGAGGAGAAAAAATGTTGAATGGCTCAACCAGCGACCGTCTATGTCATGGGCATAATGCATTTATACATGGCTAAACGTGTATACACTAAATTTATACAATACATACCTCTTCACCACCCTTCCCTCGCTCCTGTGTGATCCTCTAAAAAGGACAACAGGCAAAATACTACCGGTGATCAAACAAGAAAAGGAACAGAAGAAAATATTGAACTAAACAGCAATATGCATATCTACAAATGATTTCTGCAATAAGTTTTAGGGATGCCAAATCAGGAACTTTAACCTCACGTCATATTTCCTTCCAAGTGCTGCTTAACGTTTTCCCCGTGTAACATTATATAACTACTTTACAGTTTTATCCGGAGGGCGACATGCTCAACGTAGAAGTCCATGATAAGATGCTTGGTTTCCAAATAATGGAGAAGTTCATTTATCCTCTGAGTTAGATGTAGAAGAAAGCATTTCCTCCAAGGTTGCTAGCAAATCAAGGTATTCAGTAAATGCCGGATGTGACTGCAAATAGTGAAACTTTACTTAGCCGCACAAATGGAGTTGTACTATACCAGAAGTTTGTGTAAGAAATACCTGCAACGTTATGCTATATGCCTCCCATAAACGAAAATCATGGTGAAATAAATCAAATAAAACCTGAGAAATTTGCAGAAAAGGAACTCCATGTCAATTATGAGTGTTTAGCATATATAGCTTAAAAGCCAACTTCTAAAAGCTTAAAAGTTAGTAGCTACTAGTTTATTTTGAAACGCTACTAGTTTATTTTGAAATGCTAAAATAAGCTATTATTTTAAGCTCCCTATATTTTACCAAACAGAGCTTATAGCTTATTTGTAGCTTAAAATAAGCTATAAGCTCTACCAAAAAGAGCCTATATGCCTTGGCATATGTCATATGCTGCCTCAAAAATCATTTGGTTTCTACTTATTTACAGCAGAATTATTGAGCTTCAATCTTCCAAAAACCAGAAATTTCATGTTCATATTCTCACTTTTACGGAGGTAAGATGTTTTACTCTATATATTTATTATTTGTGTTGGAAGAGGGGGATTCGCATAATATAGTTCACATATTACAAATAGTTATTACTAGAGGAAGTAAGTTAAACCTCAGATCGCCTCAATAGTGTGGCCAGGACAACAATCCATTCTTTGAATTTGACAGAGCACATCTGAGACAAAAGGAATTCTGCATCCAATCGACTTTGTAGTGTTCCCATTTGAAGCTGTTGATTGAAAAGTTACCAGTGCATCAATCATATAAGTTCAATCTTGAAGATCAAACTATTCCTTCCAGCAAGAGTAAATTTTCAAGTTCCATAATTCAAGTAAAAAACACAAATGCTTTATGATAAAGTTGTATCATAAATTATTAGGAATGTCCAAATATGTTGACTGTACTCTAGAAAAGATTGGTTGTACCTTCTGTCCAATAAGTTCAAGCCCTAAGGCAAAATTCTCCAAGCGAGCAGATCCATATCTCTCTCGCCGCAAATAATCCTGTATAACAGTATAGATTACGTACCCAGAGAACCTTCAGTTGTAGCACATATCATAATTATTATCAAAGTTCACAATTATCATACCATGAGGTCAAACTGTGTGGCTTTCACAAATGCAACAAGCTTTGAAAGTTCTTTCCCAGACATCAAAAAGCTTGCATGACTTTCTAAAATATTCTTAACAGAAGCAACATGGGCATTCTGCTCCTTGAATGAGCTGCTAGACATAAAATGAAACAAACTTATGAGAAAATCTAATGAAATATGATTATTAGTAAACGGTATAAATGCACTTACCCTTTTGAATCAAAAGATTGTCTTTGATAACTGGAAGGAAACAGAAAATATCCAAAGAATCGAGGAGATAACTTCTCCGAATCCACTGGTGCAGGTTCAAATTCTCGTCCAGATCTGAGAAGAAACCTCACCTGAGAAATAATATCAAATTATCCTGTTACAGAGAGTAATCATCTTTTCAAGGGAACATAATGTACCGTAAAGTCCACATACCAGTTCCCCAGCAAGCTCATATAGCGATTCATCAAGCGTGGCCTGAGAAATGCAGAAACCTTATCAGACTGGGATATGTGAGATGTAATATAACTTTTTGCTTCCCTCAAAACATAATGTCAAAAAGCCATAATTATTATACAAAAACTTAGACTACGTTTAAAATGGTTGCAATGAGACAAACACAGAGCCTACTAGTATCTCATAAACGTGCAGAAAAAGCTCTCTAATGACGCCTGTGAACCTCCTAGTATCACATGTTTACCTGCAACAAACGCAGTGCACAGTACTGACTCACAGCAGGACCTTCAAGCTTCGCAATAACCTGTGGCAATGGCAGAATATTATAAGCAGACCTACAATTCGAGCACAGAATTCTCCTCAAGAAATAAATGCTGTAATGAAATTGGATAAATAAATTTTAGTAGTGAAGAAAAAGCCCCGTAATGAAATTGGATAAATAAATTTTAGTAGTGAAGAAAAAGCCCCAACCAACACAAAAAATATAAAATAAGAAGAGAGAGAAACAAACACAAGTATACAGACTAGTAAAACATAGAGTAATATGTAGTCATTTCAAGGTACTTTAAGAAAAAATGCATGTGCTTCTTACAAGTATATAGCAAGCGGCAGTCCGGTACCATCTCCTTTGAAAGCATTCCTCAAACAACCTGAGGGCAGATACAAGTCAAAACACTACAGAGCATGATACAATACTTGAGAGTTTTAGACAAATTTGAAATTTATGACAGCCAATTTCTTGTTCCTGTTTTCCCTCTGCAATAATCATCATGAGATAGAAACTGCAAGGAGAGTTTGAAGCCTTGTCATTGCAGGGGTGGCCAGATGAGGACACTTTGCCCACCATGCCCACCACAGTGGACAATCAGACTTCAGAGAGCAAGTGTGATCATTGAGATATTTTGACAAGACTTTTGATCCCTAGAAACAAAGGATAAAAAGGAAGTAAATTAACATACTCAGTTGATCTTCCAGCAGCAGCAAACAAATCTGCCCAATGTCGACCATCAGTTTTTCTTGCAACACTAACAACCACATCACAATACTCTGGAAAATTTCTGATTAGATCGCAGGACTTCTTGAGAAGTGAAGTGACAGTAGCATGATTAGACATTGTAGTCTGATTGTTCCTCGTGTTTTGGCTGGTAAAGATAATAACAAACATTGTAAATATGAATGTCAAAATATAAGTTTAAAAAAAATCATTTTTGTTTATGGTAAAGGCAATGAGTCCAAGTCCCAAGGTAAAGAATGCAATACATGGAAATATGATTTCAATACAAAACAAACAATGAAACGACTTATCCAAATAAATAAATAAAATAAAACAAAACAAAACAAAAAGAGTTAAATTGATCAGAAATTAAACTTCTACTCAAATAAATATGAAGTTACCAAAACATTAGAATCCCAAATCTTATGAAGACAGAGTAGAAGGAATTTAGAGTGCTATATTCCTAATTTCCCACATTAGCTCTCATAACATAGGAAAAATATAACAATGTTATAGATCACAAAGTTCCTGCTAACTTACCCAGAAATTTCAGCCTCAAAAACTGTAAAAAGAAGCCACTCAAGGTAATGGGAAAAATGTGGCTTTTCTGCTGATAGTTGTGCCAATCGTAATGCTTCTTGCTCTTTGCCTCTCTGTCAAACAATACCAAAAGCATTGGCTAGTAAAATAAAAGGCGCTTGTTAAACCACAAGACTTAGTATGGTCATTTGATCATAAAGGTCCTAAACAACAAGACCTGATTATTAGAAATCAAATTATTCTACTTGTGGCCCATGCCTCAAAGCCTCTTAAACATTATTCCATATAATGGTTACATATGCCTACATTTTTTACAATTCTAAACAAACAAAATTATAGCTGTGATTTTGAAAAGTATGGCACCTGGAAAGATCTCAAATAAAAGCTACAATTTCAAACAACTATGTGCCATCTAAGTATCTAACATATACTTTGATGTATAGAATGGGTCTGCAGCATTTCTCTCCTACTAATGCTTACTTTAATTATCTTTTGTTTCCTAATTGAATTAGCTGAGCTTATATGTGTGCTTGGTATTCATTTGATTGCATACATGCCTTGGTGGCCAGTGGCCACGCAAAATTCATCTTCCAGGTAGGTTCATCCCTTCTCCTGTTTTCTGCTGTGTCATAATCAGATGTTTCCATCGCTTTATATTAATTATTCTAAGCACCTCTTGCCTCAGTATAAAAGCTAAAAAGAATTTACTACTGACTAGAAGCTACCTGCAGAAGATGCCTAAGTAGGCAATGCAATATGGTCTGAGCTTGGGGAGATGGCTCAAAACATGGAAATTCAGTGCTTGCAGAAAATGACACTCTCTGAGAAACGCCCACCACAACTCCAGCATTCGGTAGTAAACCAAGAGGATAAACCTCACGATCAAACTCCAATTCCGGGTCCAACTAAAAGTTGGCATCAAAACATTCATATACAACAAAAAATATTTATTAAGCAGCTCTGTCAATGCAGAAAAGAGAGATTGACGACACTACTTCAGTTTTTCCTATGTTTCATGTATTTATGTTTACAAGAATATCCAAAAGAAACCAAGACCATTTCTACAAATTCTCCAAGTTCTAATGTGTAGCAGCATAGCTGGACAGAAATAATTCATTGCGCAGCCATGCACAAACAGCAATACAATAACGGTTAATACAGTCAAAACCTTTATATCTAAAGCACCAATTATTCAATTAAGACATGCATTACATATATAGGGGAGAGATCAAGTGAGAATAGAGTCTTGTGTGAGAAATGAGGATGACTCTCGGCCATCAATCGGAAAACAGTGAACAGATGAAATTTATACTTAAATGAAAAATGTGGTGGCATTTTAGTAAATATGCAGGACTTTCACTGCATCATTAAAGAGAAAAAATCGTTTCGAAGAATAACAGCATCAATTTGGAGAGAAACAACAGAGAACCTGTTAAAAAACATGAAGTTTAAATGAAAGATGTAATGACGTTTTTGTAAATATGCAAAAGTTTTTTTCCCACATCATTTAAGAGAAAATCAGCATTGTTTTGGCCTAAATACGCATAAATAGATTAGGAAGGCTAAAAATGTATTGTTTTGGGATAAATAAGCATTATTTTATGTTAAATATGCACAGTCCACATATTTTTTCAGTCAAAATGCACATCATTTTGGCCTAAATATGTCTGGAAAAATCAAGAAGCCTAAGCATGCATCATTTTGGGATACATATGCATGGTTTATTCATTCCAACTTCTACTTATTTACAGAAATGTCACCCACCTTTTCTTCTAAGGCTAGATCCCCATTCATTCAATTTTTTGAAATGGACTGTCAATATTTATTCTCATTTCTCATGGGAGAAAGTGAGAAACTATTTTTACTCGATCCAATTCCTCTATACACACACACACATACTGTCAGAAAACACTTGAATACCTGCAAGAAATCCTCTTGCTTAAAAGTGTTGACTCCTGGAGATGGATACCAAACCTGTAATAATGAGCTTCCAACCAGTACATATATGAGACACATAAGACAGAAAATAAGAATTCATCAAGAGAAGTTAAATGCTAAAGAAATCTGTAACCTGCATTCCTCGGTGGCCATAGTCCAACCATGAAACTTCCTCAATCAGGGTTGTTTTCTCCTCTGATTGACCGCATGTAACCCAAAACAATTCCACAGAGTCAGTGAGCTCTCTTTCCCTCCCCTCATCCAAATCGAGAAGCGAAAGCTCTCCATTTGTCCTCAAGATCAAACATCTAAAAGCACAAATAGTTATTAGCAAACTGCAATCGGAAAGTCATATTTGTGAACTGATGACTGAATAATAACTACATACCTAGCAGGCTCTCTGACTACAATGTCAGATGAAGATATACCATTCTCGGTTAAAGTTTTCCTAGGAAGCTGATCAGGGATAAAATGCATTGCTGCAGGATGGCACTTCGCAGTCATGATTGAAAGCTCTCGGACTGTAGAAAGCTGTTTGTCATTTTATCACTTAAAAAGGTATGAAAAATAGTTTTGCAGTAAAATACTCGGATAAAGAATCCTGCTATAGAAAGATTTAAAACGCCAAACCATTTTAGAAGTTTGAATAGCATTAGAAACATCCACAAGCAGCAACTTTTACCTGTAAATCTGGAGTACTCAGGGGAGTCAATTCACCGAGCAGTTTCACATGATAAATATGGACATCAAAAGGGCGGTAAGTGACTAGTAAATAATCTTGATAAACATCCATGACCATTGGTTTTGCAAGCAAAGATTTCCGACAAAGTAGGGAACTCTGGTCAAGGTGGTACCTTGGGTAAAAAAGTAACTCATACCTGCGATTTTGATAATAAATGTTGAATAAGTACTCTAAACAAAATCAGAAAACCACATTATATAACTTCTAAATCCTTCGAAAAGTAACACTACAAAGGACTCAGATTACACCAGCCAGTCTAGGAAGATATAGGGGACTGGATCAAAATAACTGAAAGAGGTTTTGATCAAGTGGTATGCATATGTCTTGACATCAAGTGCAGGCATTCATATTTCATATATTCACACATAGAGGCCAGGAGTCTTGAGTAGCTACAAGCACATATATTGCTTACCCATTGGAAGAATCATCATAGTTGCAAACAACAACAATTTTCCCCATCCATAGCAAGCCTTTGCATTGAATTTTTTGCTCCTGACTAATATCTCCAAAAAATCGCCACTTTTTAAGTCGTATGTCATATAATATCAACCCATGAAGACCAGCAATTGCCAAGTACATCCCATCTTTGCTAGCAGCCACATGCAGAATGGGCCAATTTTGGGAGATATATGAAACCTGACACAGAAACTAAATGCATCAGGAAAAAAATATCAATCGCAAAAAAACAGTAAAAGAAAAGATAAAGATAAAAACTAGTGTGAGTGTTCAAACTCATCAATATGTTTGGCACATACTGGAAGGTTGAGATGCAAGATTTTAAGTTCATCAGTATCTTCTGACTGGACAACAAGCAATCTATCTTCACCATAGATTACTTGTCGGACATATGTTGTTCCAGAAACTCCTCTGTTGAGACAGCATTTCCCAAAGGAGAATGCAATAATTCTATCTGAAGATCCTTCCTCAACAGCATAAAGCCTATATCCATATTCATCCCAGTGCATCAATGAGGTGCCACCCATCATAGGTTCATATTTACGTTCCTGGCTAGGCTTAATTACTGGAGAAGATAGAGAATTTAATCCAATTTGGCGGATTGTACACATCAATCGACAACCAGAAACAGACCAAACTGTAAGCCCTCTTAACTTCCACCCAACTGCAAAAGCAGAATTGTCAGCTGTCCAGGCAATACAATTCACAGCACCAGTATCTTCCACAGAATATCTGCAAAAGAACCCAGAGAAAACACCAAAATAAATCATTTCATAGTTTCCTTTAGATCAGATAAGGTGTCATTCTATCTAGATGTAGAAGCTACATCTCATCTTCATACCCATTTTATCACCTCCATAAAATCATGTGATTACAATGAGAATATACAAACATTAAACCTAAAAATTCTCAGAAGCAGTATTTGGAAATGCTAATATAGTAGGATTGCATGTAAGGTCATGAAAGCATCCTCAACCCTTCCCCCTGCCACTCTCTAACAACTTCTTAAAGAATAAAGATGCTTCAATGTTAATCATCCATGTTTTAACAACTGCCTCCTGTTAAGGTTAGAATTTCATCCAAATGGAAAACTATAATAAACTAAGAAGTAAGAACAGAGATTGCACAAGTTAAATGTGTAATATTCTCTCATTAACATGCACTTTTGCATATCTTTTCCATATTGTGTATCATAGAGGCTTACCCCCAGTCATACAAAGAAACAGAACGTATAAGTGAAGCCGATTCTGCAAGATCATACAACTCGACAACACCTCTTTTGTAACCAACAGCAAGAATTTGTTGTTCTGAAGCAACAGAGGCACAAACAGCATCACCAGATCCCAATCTCTTTTCAGCCTTGACAGGCTCGGCTTGCCTGAAGCCCTTCTTGCTTACAGAACATAAGACAAGTTGCCCATCAGAGTATAGCACAAATAGCAACCTCAAGGGTAGGGAAAATTCCAGGTGGGACACAGCAGATGGTTTTGACTTGCAATGACTTGGTATAGAATCATTTTCGGCTCTACTAGAAGCAAGACCATTTTCCAGAGAAGTTGAAAGTTTAGTAACCTCACTACCATCACAAAGCTGAGCATCAATATTAAAGGCTCCATAAAACTGTATTGACAACAACCAAAATAGGGGAACTATATTAGAAAGCAAAATATTTATAACGTTTTCTAGACTCAATTGAAAAATAATCACAATTCATCACTATTTTTTTTCATATTAAAGATGCTTCTAAAGATAAGCGCAAAGTCACCTCTTAAGCATGGAGATGATTGAAAGGTCTAAGTAATCAACAGTAATTATATTACCTCACCCTTCCAGGATATGTTATACAATGACCCATCAGAGAGTCCAACAAGCATATGTTTGTTATCACAGACAATATTGCTCCTGCCAAAAAAAAAAAAAAAAAAAATCAGAAGAGAAGGAAAGCCATAATCAGAAGGAGACTGACTAGCAGCAACCAAGCTAAAGCAAGAGATGTAAATCTAAAGTAAGCCAATTTCACAGAGGCACCAAACTGTTCTCCCTCTCTTAACCTGGCCACTATAAGCAATAGTAGCAAAATAAGGAAGCAAAACATAAAAGAAAGACAAGAAGTCAAACTTTCGTAACCTTTACATGTTTCAAGGCAAAAGGACCTACTCAACTGACAATGATAACCCTGAAAGAGATAGGATTGAAGAGGCCTGACAATGGGATAAGAATAGATAGCAACTGCATGGACACCAAATTTAGGTCTCATATCCATGTTGTACTCATGTTGAAGTGTTGAACAATAACACTCCTCAACTCACTACCCAGACATGTCAGACACCAAAAAATTGTCTTACTTTGTGCAACTTGTCACTTGATTGTAGAATAAATAATAATAATAATAATAATAATAATAATAACAACAACAACAATAATAATAATAATAGTCATAGTAATAATAATAACAATAACATCAGCAGCAACAATATTGTGTCTCAAAACATGCCATGGCCTCCCTTTTTTTTTGGGAATCTTGTGTCCATGTCTGACTCAACACTTGTGCTCCCTCATAGGGTAGAAATGTAATCAATTTCTCAAGCCTACTAGAGATATACAATAATCCAACATAGCAATCATGACCTTTCTTAAAACTATAAATTACTAGGCTAGGAAGTCTGGAAGTGTGAGAACTTCAGGTTATTCAAGCAATGGTACAATAAGGTTAAAAAAATAAATTGAATTTATCAGTTACTCCATAAATAACATCCACTTAGGAAGTCTAGTCCAGTTGTTCAGGCTTCTAAAAGAAAATCGATGGTTTCCAGAAATTAACTTAAGTTCTAAATTTTGTATTTTATTTGACTGTTCTAGAGATTTAATTTTTCAATAAATAAATAACATTACATAAGAAAATCCAAACAATTTGACATCAGATAAGGAAAAGTTGGGACCGTTTCAGCATCAGAATTCAAACCCTAAATGAATAGCAGAGTGACTTACACTGTCAAATTCTTGTGAGCAAATGGCACCTGCTCGTTTAGGAGCAAACTAATATTTGCTAGAAATAAACCAGATGGTTGTTTCCCTCCAATTTGTATTTTCTTTTCTGTAAGTTGAACCTTAAATATTTGGATATGCAAAGAAGAGGTCTGAGAAAGAACAAAACAAATGCAAGTCAGCTTATAGTCTTATACATCCCAATTCAGTAAATTGTGTTTCAATGTAAATCAAAGCATGGGAAATAGGATTAAAAATCAGACTATGTAATCAATTTATATGATTGTTTTTTTTTTTTTTTGGTTTTTCCATATCAACAAATTACAAGCACCATTGGTCCAGAAGGATGGGTTCTCCAAAAATAAAAATAAAAATAACTAATTGTATGATCTCTTTTTCAACAGGGAAAAAATAACACTGCCTGTCAAAAGGAAAGGCCTAAAATTCACAAAATTCTAAGGAACAATCTCTCTCTTCAAGGCAAAGAAAAATGATGCTAAGTTGCTAACTACACATCTAAAGAAAGATGTTGCTGAGTCTATATAAAACAGTCCCCAGAAATTACCAACAAAAAAAAAAAAAAAAAAAAATGCACTACTAACTGCATTATAGTAGAAGTGTAGGTGCCGGTTGCCTTAACCAATTCTACGACCATTAACTCTAAACTCTAAACTTACAAGAACAGCAACCAATTTCGTATCAGGACTCCAAACAGCCCGAATATTCTCGCCTTCCTTGTGAATTGAATCTGAATCTCTCTTGTACTTTCCCAATCTCACCCTATGCTGAAGGAAAAAAAAGCAAATTAAACAGCGTGAGTCGCAACATATTTTCCAATATTTCTACACAAACCAATCAAAGTATAATGCCGTCCAAATAACCTGAGAAGAAGACCAGAGCTCAAGATGAGTTGGTGAAACCACAAGCAATAAGCGATTGGTGACCTTGAGATACACAATTTGCTGAGAAGAAGGGCAGAGACCACGCTCCAGAGGAATGACCTGTGGCCACCCATATGCCATATACATCTTGGATGGATGGATGTATGAGCTTCCGAGGGCAAGAATCAGTAGTAGAGTACTGGCGAGAGAAAGAAGGAGTAGAGATCGAGTGAGAGAAAGCGGAACCTAGGGTTTTGCAGGAGATCCGAATCGGAATTTGCTGTTGCTGAAGAGAGAGCAGTGATGATGAAACACAAGCAAAAATTTTCAGGTGGTTGGGGGTGGATCTGCAAATTTTCATTTTTCAGGGACAACAAGAGAGTCTTATTCTAACTCCAAAAATAGAAAGGAAAATGCTGTGGAATAAGGATGGTAACAGTTACCATCAATTAAAATTTGACTATCACCAATTACAATATAGTGTGATGACATTTTGATTATTTTAAATGGATGATTATAGATTCGAATTTTGGTGGTGGGGTTTAGATTCTTTAGACGAAAAAAAAATGTTTAAAAAAGTATAAAACATATACTATTTTGTAGGACTACCAAAGTGGGTCTAAACTTTCAAACTGACATGCACCCATGCTGCAATGGGCGGGTTAGGGTCACAAAAAGGACGTTTATACTGAAAAGGTAAATAGGGTGAATTGTGAAGTGATAAATACTGAAAAAAATAGGGTGGGGGCTGTTATGTAACTTTGCCTACTCATTAATTAATTACCATCTTTGAATATCGTGATATTCTTGGTATTTTCCTTGTGTACACGATGCTATAATCGATTGGGATTCTTTTATTTTTTTTCTTTAGTTTACGCAATACACAGTGGCCGTCGCTCTCTCTACCGTGTGTGCAGTCCAGTCGAAGGTCGTTCCATGGCAGGTTCCTCCCTCCTGCAGTCAAAGAGGCGAAAGCTGCTGTCTTCTGATGGTTTGCAAGGTAAGTTTTTCCTCCCATTTTTTGGTGGTTTTGATTTGCGTTTTCGGCTAGATAACGTTAGGTTTTTCGATTTTTTTTTTTTTTTTTTTGTGTGTGTGTGTGGGGTATTGTTTTCCGGCTTGTTAGGTGTGTTTGTTGGGGTTTCTTCATTTTTTTGATATGGTTTTCCGGTGGGATAGGGCTGGTTGTAGGGGTAGGTGTGCTTCCCTTCGCCGTATGGCCATTTCTTCTACAAATAGTCCATCCAATTGTTCTTCTTCCAAGGTTATATATATCTCCATGACTTTAAATTTTGACTTAAAAAAATATATCCTTCTGTATGCAAATTGTATCCAGAGCTTCTGTTTTTTTTTTTCCTTTTATTTGGTTATTTGTGTATGGATTCTGAAAATTTGCTTTTTTAATTTACTTTTTATTTAATATTTGTTTTTGTGATAGTTTTAGAAGATGAATTCATTGGCTGCAAATAGAAGTGCAAGTTATGTTGTAGTTTGTCTGCTTGTAAATTTTTTTGTTTTTACTTGTTTGGTGTTTGCATTGAGTCGGTGTGTATGTGCATGCAGGGTTTGCAGCCGTTACGTGTGTACTACATGGCGGAGATTTTAATGTATGATACAAATGTCCATCGGGCTAGGACACATCAAGTTTGCAGCTGAATTTGCAAAAAATGTTGGATAACAAACCTCCATCGGGAAGGATTTAATGAGGTTTTGTAATTGATATATTAGTCTTAATAGTATACTTTTCATACTCAAATGCCATATTATTTTTTAAATATGGCATAGCAGCTCAGCTTGATTTTAAATAAAATGTCAAAGTTTAGTTCCATTATATTACAATTTCTTAAAGATACAAAGTGTGCGTTCTAGTGGTTTAGTGTCTGCATGGGGCTATTATTTGTTATACTTGTTTCAATCTACACTTCCCATCCATCTAGTTTGTTATAAACCGCGTCTGAGTAACTTGCACATGCCCCACAACACAAACGCACATAGGACCATAATTAATCATTTTCGGTAAACCAATAATCCAACCACCACGTACTTGTATAATATTTTTTTTTTTAAAATCAATAAACACAACATCTTCAATGCAGACACCCATCTAATTTGGGTTTCTGTCAACATTTAAAACGAACAAACATCTGGATTGACCGCGTACATGAAAAACGCACACGTCTAACAATAACTACGCACACACTACCGTCATATTCTCCCGACCAAAGCGTCCGCATTCTTGTCATAAGTTAACACATAAACACACGAGGCGGGTTCATGCACACCTTAATTATCAATTATTTTACAACAGATACAAAAAAAAAATGCAATAACATTGTCATGCCATAATTCGTTTTACCCTTACTCGCACACGCTGTTGCACAACTACGCACACAACAACATAAACTTAAAATTCTGGAGTACAAAAAAAAAAAAAAAAAAAAAAAAAAAAAAAAAAAAAAAAAAAGACAACAACAAAACAAAACCCTTACAACACTTTTCTCTAAAAATACCCAAAAACATGAATCTTGCACACACCATATAACAATTTTGGTAACCAAAAAAAAAAATGACACTATAAATGTTGGAGCCCCCGTCCTTATAATTTGCACACTACAAAGTACACACGCACAAACCATCATCACTTCTGAATGTGATGCAAAAAGAACACAGTCATCTGCACAAACCATTGCACATACACGCACACGACATTTCTAATAAACTTACAATCTTGGACCACAAAAAACAACGACAAAGTACTCTTACAACATTTTTCTATAAAAACAATCCAAAAACAAAAATCACCACACACACCATATAACAATGTGCATAACAAAAAAAAATACAAAAGAAAAATGCAAAAAAAAAAAAGATATTTGCACACGCCTTCGCACATACACGCACACAACACCGTTCAAAAACACCAAAAAAATTACTACAGATGCACCTATCAATTTTTTCACTAACCATTCGTAAGCTCTAGCCTTTTTCCATTTGCAGACTTCTTTCCGATCACTATTCCGTGAACAGCTACATTAAAAAAAAATTAAAAGTAATTATTTCCATTAATATTGTCCATAATATTATCTTAAAGATTTCAATTTAATTATACCCTTAATTAATCACACTATTACAATTACTTCTTTATCCTTATGTTTAAAATATATCCTTAATTAATTTATAATTCTCTTTCAATCTCAACCATGCATTTGTAATGAGTTAATGGTTGTGATGAGATCTCATGATTTCATCTATCTAGGTGACCTCATGGGAATCGCAACATATATATATATATATATATATATATATATATATATATATATATATATATATATATATATATATATATATATATATGATAGTACTAATTGCCACGTAATGCGGTAATTAAATAAACACAATACCAAATAAAGTAATTAAATGTCTTTTATTGATCGAGGTGAAGGCCCTAAGTACAATCTAAGTGGTTGCTCTGAGTACCAACTAACTGTGGTCGGGATTCTCTAACAACAACCTATCGATCGTCCAAAAGCCCCCCACACTGTTGCTATCGCGGGTATTTATAGCCGTGGAGCCGGAGACACAAGTCCGGTCGTCCGGCATGTCGCCCACGTAGCAACCACGTGTCGCCCTCCCAGGTGCCCTGCCTGTTAGCACATAGCGTTGCCACGTGTCTCTTCTTAGCTTTCTCGCCTAAGGGCTACCGATCGGTGGTCGACAACGCCGGTCGGGTATAACCCGGTCGGGAACCGACCGGGTTCTTCTACGAAATCCAACCTGTAACCTGCAAAAATAAGAACAAAAGGACGAAGGCATGTCGGTCGGGATATTCCCTACCAAGAGCCCCCTAGCCCGGGCCTTTTTGACCGTCCGAGAAAAAACGGGACGGGGTGAAGAAGCCCAACGGTCCGCCGCCAAACCGACCGGCCAGCTGTCATTCCCTTTACGCCACGTGTCGCGTTCTGCCGCCCTCTGCAACCCCATCAATCACATTGGAGTCCGGAACGGTCGCGTCACGTGATTGGGCCGTTTCCCGCCCAAATGCTCTCCTATAAATAGGCCTTTGGGGCTCTCATTTGAACCTTTCCCAACATTCTTGAGTCGATCGGTGATGGGGAATATACACCGGTTGTACGGATCGTCCGGTCGGCCCGGCCTGTTCCCCGGTCACGACTACTGCAACTTCCGGCCCGGTTGACCGGTCACCCCCGTGGCGTGGAGTACGACAGAGGCCTTGCGGGCTTCTGATCGGTGACCGGGATAGGTGCTCGATCGAGGTGGGGGCCGCTGCTGCCAGAAGGAACGCGCCACGTGTACGGTGGCACACCTGCCCCTTTCGAGGCCCGGTGTATGCTCATCACGTGTCTGACATGCCGGAGGACCGGGTGCTATTCCCCATATCCCTTATAAATACTGCATTAAATGCTTCAGTAAAGGACTTTTGGATTAGGCTACTTACTAGACTAGAGAGGATCCCGGTCATCATATACGATCGGTCTATCTGTAACTCTACTGTAACCTATACGTATCAATACACTGTTATTTTATCCACATCATTTGGCGCCGTCTGTGGGGACCGGTACAAAATCCATGCATTGCTACCGATCCTCCTCACATGTATCCCTTCATGGACTTCCTCAACGCCGGCGGGGACGCCGACGACACCCAGCCTGACCTACGGGCCCATCTGAATGCCCGGATGGACCTGAACCAGCCGCCAGAAGGAACATTTAAGCCTTCGGAGCCGGTCAGCATGGGACCAGCGGAAGCCGCTTACAGGGACATCCCGATGCAAGCTACGTACCAAGCACCGAGAGTCTTCCCGGGGATCATGGACCCGGTGTACCAGTGGTGGGCCAACGCTCCGCGTTTCTACCCCCCGGCATACCGTAGCCGCAGATGCCTAGAGTATACCCTCCGCAAATGTACAGCCCGGTCCACAACTACTATATCGTTTCCCCTGGCTTCGGCCTGGGGGCGAGCGAGCATGACAGGGCACAGTCGCCGCGAGGACCGCCAAACGCCCCTCCCGAGGCACCGCAGTCCCAGCGTCGCCCGGCCCGCACACGCCTCGGCTCGATCGACCGTTCAGAAGAACATGCTCCCCGAACAAGTGCCTTCGACAGGCTGCAGCCGACGAGTTCCCCCCGGCGGAATCGACCGGGCGGTAGAAGGGCGTCCCTCGACAGGTCGGCATCCAGCCGCGGTGCGGACTCGGACGAAGCGAGTTCTTCCCGAAGTAACCACCGACGCGACACCGAGTTGAATACGGCGGCCGGCGTCCCGCGCGAGGTCATGGAGCAGGTCCGGCAGGAGTTCAACCGTTGGAAGCAGGAGCAAACGGCACAAGTCCCGAGTCTCGACACCACGCTATTACGAACTCCGTTCTCCAGTGAAATCATGCAGCAGCAGTACCCGGTCGACTTTCGGGTCCCGGGGGCAAAGGATTATTCGGGAAAAACGGACCTAGAAGAGCATGTCAACTCCTTCTACGGAAACATGATCATGTTGGGCGTGTCCGACGCTGTCATCTGCCGGGCATTTTTCTCAACGCTCTCGGGAAGAGCGGCCGAGTGGTTCAAGTCCCTCGAACCGGGGTCCATAACGTGCTTCGCCGACCTATCGACCAAATTTATCCGACGTTTCGCAATGTCTCGGACCGTTCGGAAGCATTTCACGCACCTCGAAGCCGCCAAGCAGCTAGAAGGGGAATCGTTAATCGATTTCCTGGTCAAATGGAAGAATGCCATCGGCGAAGTCGAGCCAATGGATGACAGGACAGCCATCAACGTCCTACATTACTCCCTCCGAACGGGGACCCTGTATCAGGACTTCATAGTCCACCCACCACAGTCGTACGACGAAGCTATTCGCAGAGTCACAGACTACGCGAACGCAATGGAGGCAAATTCCGCAAAGCAACGCCAAGAGACAGGATCCACCCGACGTGACACTCGCCCCGACCAGAAGCGCGGAGACCGTCAGCAAGCCCCCCGGGACCTGTCCAGGCTCACCCGCCCGGTAACAGAGGTCCTCGATTATGCCCAGAGTTGTAATCTGATCCAGCTACCCGAGCCCGGGCGTGACGGCCGGGACACCTCCAAGTTCTGTGCGTACCACCGCAACCGAGGGCACACTACGGACGAGTGCCGGGTCCTGAAGGAGGTGATCGAGGACCTCCTGAAGGAGGGTGAGCTGACCCAGTTCACCAAGAAGAAGGACAAGGGGAAGAGATGGAAGAAGTTCTTCAAACGATCCGGCCGGGACAAGAAGGACAAGGACCAGGATCCCGAAGGCAAGTCCCGGCCCAGTGGCTCCAAGTAGGTGATACACGTGATTTTCGGCAGCCCGGAGGGTGGCGATAGCACGGAGGAGAGGCACAGGAGGTGCCAAAGCCTACACGTCGGATTAGTGGATGAAGCTCGACCGGAAAAGCGGTCAAAAGCCGAACCCATCGCCTTTGTAACACCCTGAAATTTTAAAAACCTTTAAAGACTATTTAACAAAGGTAAATGATCATAAATCCCAAAACGTTTATAAGAATACGGGGTGTTATGCCACACCCGAGCTAGAGAACTCAGGTGCACAGGCTAAATTCTAAAAGCCTCCATCAGTATCAATACAAAATCATGGCACGCAGGCCGAAAGGGAAAACTATCTAATCTACGCCCCAAACCTCTAGCGCGCTCCAGTGATCTACTCTTCTGTGCCTGAAAGCCAAATATATCTGTTCAGCGAGAGATGTTGGTAACCCACTCCAACGCGTTGAAAAATACATATAGATATATACATAGATATATGAAAACCATTTCGAAGCATGAAGATATATCTTAAGAGACTCTAGCTTTCAAAACAGGGAATAGACTCGACAGATAGGGATAAGCACTACCAACAGTCATAACCAAGCATGCACAATTCACAGGTGTAGGGAACAGATACGACAGATAGAGATAAGCACAGCCAGTAATCATAATCAAGCATATACAGTTACTAGCATGTATCCTATGGTCACGCTCTCATAACAATCAAACCATCCATATCTCATCACATAGCACACTTTGTTGGCGCCACAGGACCAATTGCATGCCCATACATGTAGAGCCGTCAAAACGGGCTTAGCCCGCCGGGTCGGCCCGCCCCGCCCTTACTTAGGTAGGGGGCGGGTTTTGAAAATAGAGGACCGTTTAGGAGCGGGCTTTTTTGGCCCGCCCCGCTTAGGCCCGCGGCCCGCCAAGCCCGCCCCGCCGGGCTCGCGGGCTACCCGCCATTATTTTATTTTATTTTATATAAAACATTTTTATATAAAATATGCACTTTAAAATTATTTTTATGTGTAATATTTTTGGACTTTGTAGTTGTGACTAGTTTGATGTTTGATAAACTATGAACTTTGAACTTTATGTTTGATTATTATGTTTCATGTGAGTTATGACTTATGTATCAATTTATTTTAATTAGTTTGATGTTTGATGAACAATTTTTTTTTTTAAAAAAAGGGTTTTGGGCGGGGGCCTGCCTAGCCCGCGGGCCATTGGCGGGGCGGTCCGGGCCTGTCAAACCTAGGACCGTTTAGGAGTGGGCTTTTTTAGCCCGCCCCGTTTAGGCCCGCGGCCCGCCGGGCTTTGGCCCGCCTCGCCCCGCCAGCCCGTATTGACAGCACTACATACATGAGGGTCAACGCATATAGCTCTGACACGGCCCCGCAGCACCCTGCCCCGTATCGCAACACGGAGGGGTCGATCGCAACCGACCGATGAACCGCAGCTCATCATAGTTTGATCGCAACCAAACAGTGGACCGCAGCCCAAGAGTAGTCATCTGACCGCAGCCAGGAATATAAACCGCAGCTCATGTAAAACGTTTGATCGCAACCAAACGGTGGACCGCAGCCCGAGAGTGTAAATCTGACCGCAGCTCAGGAATAACCAATTCTATCGCAACCGAATTGGGGTATCATGCACACATAACACATAACAAGTACATGCAACCCACATTGACACATTGAGAAGGGGGAGAAATCGTATAACGAAACCTATGCGTGATCATCTACATACTAAGAATATTCCTAAGGGGTTCATACTTCTTACACCTAGGCCAACGAGATACCAATTCAACTAGCATGCAATATATAAGACTTATTCCACCTACGAATGGTACCCGAACATCAAACTAGACATAGGCACGATAGACGGAGTCCGTTGGGACACCACGGGGGTCGGGGGAACATCAAACGGGGAAGCCGAAATCCCAAAGTGGGGTAAAATCCAGCGGGTAGCCGGTGGGTGAGGGGTCACCCGCCGGCGTCGTGGTTCCGGGCAGCGGGTGCCCGGCGGGCAGTCGCCTGCCCGCAGGCTGCCCGCTGCCGGCGACTTCAAAGTTGGTCGCGGGTAGGTGGCAGGTCCCCTACCCCCCACTGACTCTTTCATCACGAAAACGCCCCGGGAACCCTAGTGGAACCCAGAATCATGCTTAGACACTTTCAAACGCAATTGATAACAATACGTAGACAATTAATGGATCAGAAGCAGGAACATACGGCGCATATCCTATCATGCTTTTCTAAACATAATTAATACCCGAACATGCGAATTCCCACCCAATACATCAAGAATAACACCATACGAATTTCATGGTACAGCCTAGGGCTCTAGACACATCCAATTTAACAAGAACATGATTCCTCTTTAAACATCAAGAACAATCAAGAATGGCACATAATCATCAAGAAACTAGGTTCGATCAAGAATCACACAATCATCAAGAATCCCTTTTCATCAACAAGATTATCAAGATCGCCCATGGAATCATAACACCAATCGTCAAGAACAATATAACGAATCATCAATTACACAAGAATATGGGGAAATCCTAAGGGGGGAATCATAGCTATGAAAATAGGTTTTGTTGAGACATGGGTTACCTCTTAGCCTTAATTAATTCCTTGGCTATGAAGAGTCTTTCTTTAAGCTTTCTTCTTTCTTGATTTCTTCTAAGGGAATTCTTGGAACTTCTTGTGTGGTGAGAGATTATTGTGGTGGGGGTTCTAGGTGTCTCCTATGTCCCCTATTTATATATCTAAGAGTCCTAATTAGGGCCCAAATACTATAGGCTTGCTAACTCTATTCCTTTTAGGACTAGGGGTTGGGTTTGGAGAAGAGGGCCCACGGACTATGGTGGGCCTTTTCCAATTTAATTATTGTAATTTAATTCTTTCTTTGGATAATTGGTTAAATGATTAATTGGTTTTAGGGGTCGTAACACGTGGTGTTACAGCCTTCACTGACGATGACCTGCCCCGAAATCCTGACCACGGGACCGAAGCCCTAATTGTCACGCTCGACATAAGCAGCGTGGACGTTCAAAGAGTAATGGTAGACACCGGTAGTAGCGTAAACGTCTTGTACCTAGACGTTTTCAAGAAGTTGAAGCTGGACGAGAAAAAGCTGACCCCGGTCCGCACCCAGTTATCTGGCTTCACGGGGGCCACTATCGAACCGGAAGGTATGATCCGATTGCCTGTTGAGGTAGGAACCTACCCCAGGGTGTCAAAAGCAGATATGGAATTCATCGTGGTAAACCTCGCCTGCGTCCACAATGTGATCTTGGGCCGACCGAGAATCGCACAAATCGGAGCGATCATCTCGATGCCGCACCTGTGTATGAAGTTCCGAACGCCAGCCGGGGTAGGCGTGCTGAGGGGTGACATCCAGTCCGCCCGGAAGTGCTACGTCATGGCAGTCCAAAGGAGTGAGGGCAGTTCGTCCAGGGTTAATGCCATAGCGAACGAGAACAAGGCCGCGGTTAGGGAGCAGCCCGAACCGGCGGAGGAGGTCGAAGAATTCCGATTATCGGACCGGTTTCCCGAGAAGACCGTCCGAATAGGCGCAGCCCTACCGGCCGACCTGAGAAGTTCAATCGTAGAGGTCCTGAGGGAGTATGCTGACATTTTTGCCTGGGGACCACAAGACATGCCTGGAATATCCCGGTCAACGATATGTCACCACTTGATGGTGGACCCCGCCGTACGGCCGGTCAAACAGAAGCAGCGACATCTATCGGTCGACAGAAGAGAGTTCGTCCGGCAGGAGGTCAAAACGCTGAGCTCAATCGGGCATATCAGGGGGGTCTCCTACCCGGACTGGGTAGCCAACGTGGTTCTGGTACCTAAGCCGCCGGCGTGGCGCATGTGCATCGATTACACAGACCTTAACCGGGCGTGCCCGCTTGACCCTTACCCCCTGCCGAGCATCCACCAGATGGTCGACGAGACCGCGGGATCTGAACTTATGAGTTTCATGGACGCCTTTAAAGGTTACCACCAGATCATGATGGCAGAAGAAGATGAGGCGAAAACATCCTTCGTCACACCGGACGGCCTGTATTGCTACAAGGTGATGCCCTTCGGCCCGCGCAATGCCGGGGCTACCTACCAGAGGATGATCAACATGCTGTTCGAAGACCTGCTCGGCAAGACCATGGAGGCCTACATAGATGACATGCTCGTCAAGAGTCTCAGCCGGGAAGACCACGCCGGTGACCTCCGGTCATGTTTCGAAATTCTGCATCACCATCGGATGAGGCTCAACCCGGCGAAATGCACGTTCGCGGTGCAGACCGGGAAGTTTTTAGGCTTCATGATGACAAAAAGGGGCATCGAACCGAACCCGGCCAAGGTCAAGGCGATCTTGGACATGCAACCCCCCGCTACGGTCCGGGAGGTACAACAGCTGACCGGAAGACTAGCCGCACTCAGCCGTTTCCTCTCTAAACTCGCTGAGCGTGCGTTGCCCTTTTTCAAAACGCTAAGGAAGATAAACGCCTTCAAGTGGGATCAAGAATGCCAGGATGCGTTCGAGCAGCTAAAAGAGTATCTCATGTCCCCGGTCGTGCTATCAAAACCGGAGCCCGGTGAGGACCTGGACGTCTACTTGGAGTGTCCGACAGAGCGGTCAGCGTGGTCCTTTGCCGAACTGACGAGAACAACATCCAGAGACCAGTGTATTATGTCAGTCATGCCCTGAACGGGGTGGTAACGAGGTACTCCAGGTTGGAAAAGGTCGTGTTTGCCCTGTACATGGCTGCTAAAAAACTCACCCCGTACTTTCAAGGCCGAATAGTGCGAGTACTCACCGACCAACCCATCGGGTCTGTCCTCCGGAGCTCCAGCTCATCCGGCCGACTAGTCAAATGGGCCTTAATGCTAACACAGTTCGCCCTGGAGTACAAACCCCGATCGGCGATCAAAGGCCAGGCGCTGGCCGACTTCGTAGTGGAATGTACGGCCAGGGAAGCTAACCCGACGACACAGCCGGGCCCAGACGACATGTGGTGGGAATTGGCAACCGACGGCTCAAGCGGCAAAAGAGGAGCGGGCGGAGGTGTAGTCATCACTAGCCCGGAGGGGTTCAAGTTTTACCACGCCCTGATCTTTTATTTTTCCCCCACCAACAACGAAGCTGAGTACGAAGCGTTCATCGCCGGCCTTCGGTATGTCAGGAAGCTCGGCGCACAATACGTCCGGGCTAGAACGGACTCCGCTTTGGTGGTCGGGCAAGTTCTGGGAAACTTCGAAGCAAATGGAGACCGGCTGGTGCAGTATAGGAACCAGATGTTGGCGATTCTTGTGGAGTTCGAAGGCCACACGGTCGAGCACGTCCCCCGGGCGGATAATGTAGACGCGGACGTCCTATCCAAGCTCGCCCAAGAAGCCCCCGAGCACATTTCCAGAATAGCCCGTATTGAAGAAATGACCCGTGCCGCCATTGACGCCCTGGAAGTCGCCGCGGTAGCCCCGACGGAAGAAAATTGGATCACAGACCTGATGCAATACTTAACCGACGACCGTCTTCCCGATGACACAGAAAGAGCCAGAAAGGTTAAGCTGAGAGCGCCCCGTTTCCAGGAGATGGATGGCCGTCTGTACCGGCGATCATACGGCGGCCCGCTGATGAGGTGCCTGAACGAATTCGAGGCCGATCTGGTAATGACCGAGCTCCACTCGGGGATTTGCTCGGCGCACCACGACGGCAAGGCTTTGGCAAGAAGGATAATGCTCATAGGGTACTACTGGCCATCAATACAACTCGACTGTAAGAGGGTGGCCCGGGAATGCGAGGCGTGCCAAGTCTTCGCCAAAGTTCTAGGTAGACCGGCCACCTTTTACCAGCCCGTCAGCACGGCCATCCCGTTCGCTAGGTGGGGCGTCGACATAGTCGGCCCGTTCACCCGGGTGGCCGGTAGAAAGAGGTTCATCATTGTAACGATCGACTACTTCTCGAAATGGGTCGAGGCAGAACCCCTGGCGACCATCACGTCGCAGGCGCAACGTGATCTCCCGTTTTGGGGTTCCCATGCAGCTGGTCACGGACAACGGAAAGCAGTTTGAGGGAAGTTACTTCGCAGACTTCCTTGCAACGATTGGAACAAAGGCAGTAAAGTCATCCGTCGCCTACCCTCAAGGTAACGGCCAAGTCGAGAACGCTAACCGGACTATCCTAGAAGGCCTAAAGAAGAAGTTGTACTCGGCGGGACGAAGTTGGGCCGACGAGTTGCCATACATACTCTGGGCTTACAGGACGACCCCTCGAGAGGCAACGAAAGAAACCCCCTTCGCCCTGGTCTACGGCGCAGAGGCTAGGTTACCGGTCGAGGCATGGATACCGACCGCCCGAGAGAGAGAGTTCGACCCGGATAACAATGATGAGATGATGACAGTCGAGCTAGACACCGTCGACGAGAGGCGGGAGCAGGTCGCGAAGAGGATAATCGAGTACCAGAAGAAAGCAAAGGCGTATCATGATGCCCGAGTCCGACCGAGATACTTTCAAGTGGGCGATTTCGTCCTAAGGAAGAGAGAAGCCAATCGCCCGTTGGAGGGAGGGAAGCTGTCCCAGAGCTGGGAAGGCCCTTACAAGATATCGGCGGTCATTCGCCCGGGAACCTACAAGCTGCAAACGACGACCGGGAAAACCGTGGACAGAGTGTGGAATTCAGAGAACCTCACGCTCTTTCAACATTAGCCAAGTTCCCCCGACCCTCCCATGTATTCCCTTAAATTATGTAATGAATTCCCTTAAGTCATGTACTCTTGTCCTAGCCGGATAACCGTTGTACCGGCAGGCTAACATTTCCGTGAAATGAAGTGTTTTCATTGTACTTGAAAAACATGTGTAGAGCAAAGCCCGGGTCCGTCCCGGCAAGGTCGTTAGGCCACGAAGCCCTACGAGGGTAGGCAAAGCCCAGGTCCGTGCCGGCAAGGTCGTTAGGCCATGAAGCCCTACGAGGGTAGGCAAAACCCGGATCCGTCCTGGCAAGGTCGTTAGGCCACGAAGCCCTACGAGGGTAGGCAAAGCCCGGGTCCGTCCCGGCAAGGTCGTTAGGCCATTAGGCCCTACGAGGGTAGGCAAAGCCCGGGTCTGTCCCGGCAAGGTCGTTAGGCCACGAAGCCCTACCAGGGTAGGCAAAGCCCGGGTCCGTCCCGGCAAGGTCGTTAGGCCATTAAGCCCTACGAGGGTAGGCAAAGCCCGGGTATGTCCTGGCAAGGCCGTTAGGCCACGAAGCCCTACGAGGGTAGGCAAAGCCCGGGTCCGTCCCGGCAAGGTCGTTAGGCCACAAAGCCCTACGAGGGTAGGAAAAGCCCGGGTCCGTCCCGGCAAGGTCGTTACGCCATTAAGCCCTACGAGGGTATGCAAAGCCCGGATCCATCCTGGCAAGGTCGTTAGGCCACGAAGCCCTACGAGGGTAGGCAAAGCCCGGGTCCGTCCCGGCAAGGTCGTTAGGCCACAAAGCCCTACGAGGGTAGGCAAAGCCCGGGTCCGTCCCGGCAAGGTCGTTAGGCCATTAAGCCCTACGAGGGTATGCAAAGCCCGGGTCCGTCCTGGCAAGGTCGTTAGGCCACGAAGCCCTACGAGGGTAGGCAAAGCCCGGGTCCGTCCCGGTCTCGATTAGGTTAGTGGTACACTCGAAAGTGTCCATCAACGTTTGACCACAAGCCCGGGTCCGTCCCGGTCTCGTTTGGTTGGTGGTACACTCGAAAGTGTCCATCGACGGTTGACCATAAGCCTGGGTCCGTCCCGATCTAGTACAGTTGGTGGTACACTCGAAAGTGTCCATCGACGTTTGACCACGAGCCCGGGTCCGTCCCGGTCTCGTTAGGTTGGAGGTACACTCGAAAGTGTCCATCGACGTTTGACCACGAGCCCGAGTCCGTCCCGGTCTCGTTAGGTTGGTGGTACACTCGAAAGTGTCCATCGACGTTTGACCACGAGCCCGGGTCCGTCCCTTGCAAGGTCAAAGCCCTACGAGGGTAGGTAGAGCCCGGGTCCGTCCCGGTCTAGTACAGTTGGTGGTACACTCGAAAGTGTCCATCGACGTTTGACCACGAGCCCGGGTCCGTCCCGGTCTCGTTAGGTTGGAGGTACACTCGAAAGTGTCCATCGACGTTTGACCACGAGCCCGGGTCCGTCCCTGTCTCGTTAGGTTGGTGGTACACTCGAAAGTGTCCATCGACGTTTGACCACGAGCCCGGGTCCGTCCCGGCAAGGTCAAAGCCCTACGAGGGTAGGCAGAGCCCGGGTCCGTCCCGGTCTCGTTAGGTTGGTGGTACACTCGAAAGTGTGACCATAAGCCCAGGTCCGGCCCGGCAAGGTCGAAGCCCTACGAGGGTAGGCAGAGCCCGGGTCCGTCCCGACCTCGTAAAGTTGGTGGTAATACGGGGAATACGGGATCGAGTATGGCAGCGAGCAAACGTACGATTAATTAAAAAGCTTAAAAATGCTGTTTGCCCGACACAAAGGGGTCGGGCTCCCTGAAAGGCAAACCGCCAGTAGCAAAAACAGAGTGACCCAGCACAGGCACGGGGCCGGGCTCCCGATCTAAGACTCTAAGCCTCCGGAGGAGCTTGGGAGTGTGGCTCGTTGGAAGAGGGCCGGTTAGCGGCCGGGGGACTATCGTACGGCTCCGGGCCGGGATTAGGCACCTCCGCGGGCAGAACCCCCAAGACCACGGCTAGGTCGTCATCGTCGAGCGACGAGGCCAGTGCGTCCCTGTCCTCCCGTTGAGCCCGGCGTTGGCCGACGCTGAAAGCCCATGTAACACCCCGTGTTACGATCCCTAAAATCAATTAAATCATTTAGCCAATTACCCAAAAGAAAGAATTAAATCACAATAATTAATTAGGAAAGACCCACTATAGTCCACGGGCTCTTATCCCTAAACCCAACCCTTAGTTCCAAAAGGAATAGAATTAGCAAGCCTATAATATTAGTTCCTAATTAGGACTCCTAAATATATAAATAGGGGACTTAAGAGGCACCTAGAAACCCCCCACCACAATAACGTCCCACCACCCCAAAGAGCTCCAAGAATTCCCTTAGAAGAAATCAAGAAAGCAAGAAAGCGTAAAGAAAGACCCTTCATAGCCAAGGAATTAATTAAGGCTAAGAGGTAACTCATGTCTCAACAAAACCTATTTTCTTAGTTATGATTCCCCTCTTAGGATTTCCCCATATTATTGTGTATTGATGATTTGTGATATTATTATTGAGGATTGGTGGGATGATTTCCATGGGTGATCTTGATGATGAAAGGTTCTTGATAATTATAGTGTTCTTGATGATTATATGACGTTCTTGATAATTACATGGTGTTCTTGATGTTCTTAATGATTATATGAGGTTCTTGATAGTTAAATGATATTCCTACCGAATCTTAATTTTGGAAGATGAATTGTGTTCTTGTTGATTTAAAAATAATTAGAACCCTAGGTTATATCGTGGAATTCGTATGGTATTATTCTTGGTATATTGGGTGGGATTTCGCATGATTGGGTGTTTATTATGTTTAGAAAAGCATGATAGGTTATGTGCCGTTTGTTTCTTGATTTTGATCCGTTAATTGTCTACGTGTGTTATCAATTGCGTTTGAAAGTGTCTAAGCATGGTTTCGGGTTCCACAAAGGTTCCCGGGGCGTTTTTGGCGAAAAGAGTCAGTGGGGGGTAGGTGGGGGTAGGGGACCCGCCACCTACCCGCGACCAAAAGAGGAGCTCCGGCAGCGGGCAGCCGGCGGGCGGGTAGCTGCCCGTCGGGCACCCGCTGCCCGGAACAGTGCCGCCGGCGGGTGACCCCTCACCCACCGGCTACCCGCTGGTTTGTACCCCACCTTGGGATTTTGGCTTCCCCGTTTGATGTTCGCCCGACCCCCGTGGTGACCCAACGGACTCCGTCTATCGTGCCTATGTCTAGTTTGATATTTCGGGTACCGTTCGTAGGTTGTATGAGTCTTATATATTGCATGCTAGTTGAATTGGTATCCCGTTGACCTAGGTGAAAGAAGTATGAACCCCTTAGGACTATTCTTAGAATGTGAAGGATCACGCATAGGTTTTGTTATACGTTTTCTCCCCCTTCCCAATGTGTTAATGTGGGTTGCATGTGCTTGTTATGTGTTATGTGTGCATGTTACCCCGATTTGGTTGAGATCAATCGGGCTATACGGGCAGTCGGGTGGGCTGAGAACCATACCGGCTGTTAACTAGGCTGGTAGAGACCGGTCAGGTATATAAATATTATATAGGACTAAGGTCCACTATACGGGCAGTTGAATGGGTTGAGAACCATCCCAACTGTTAACCAGGCTGGTAAAGACCGGTCAGGTATATAAATATTATATATGCGGCTCATCGGTCGGTTGCGATCGACCCCTCCGTGCTGTGAGACGGGGCACGGTGCTGCGGGGCCGTGTCAGAGCTATATGCATTGACCCTCATGTATGGGCATGCGATTGGTCCTGTGGCGCCAACAAAGTGTGCTATGTGATGAAGTATGGATGAGTATGTGGGTTATGATTATTAATTGTGCTTATCTTATCTGTCTTGCCTGTTGTAAACTGTATATGCTTGGTATAACTGCTGTCCGTGCTTAACCCTATCTGTTGAGTCTATCCCTGTTTTAAAAGTTAGAGTTCGTAAGATATATCTTCATGTTCAAAATGGTTTTCGTATATCTATATATATATATATATATATATATATATATATATATATATATATATATATATATATATATATATATATATATATATATATATATATATATATATATATATATATGTATTGTATTTCAACGCGTTGGAGTGGGTTACCAGCATCTCTCACTGAACAGATATATTTGGCTTTCAGGCACAGAAGAGTAGGTCACTGGAGCACGCTAAAACATGGAACGTAGAAGTAGATAGTTTCCCTTTCGGCCTGCGTGCCATGTTTATGCGTTTACATTATTGAGGATATTAGTTAGTTAGCCTGTGCACCTGAGTTCTCTAGCTCAGGTGTGGCATAGCACCCCGTACTCTTGTATTATGTTTTGGGATTCAATGAGATTTCACCTTTATTTTATGAGTTTTAAATATCTTGAAAATCTGGGGTGTTACAGCCCACTTGGGCAGGGTCCACGCCAATTCCTCGCCGACCGTGTTCTTCAAGAAGTGGCGGAAGAAAGCCTCGCCCTCGGCCCGATCGCGGCATACCCGAGCTGCGAGCTCCTCTGGATTGTCCAGCAGCTTCTGGGCTTCGGTCGCCCGGGTCTCCGCCTTGACCAACCGATCGTTGGCAGATCGTAGCTTGCGGCGTGCTTCCTTGGCCTCCTTTTCATGACGATCGGCGGCCTTTTGGAGGGCCTCGGCATCCTCCGTCGCCTTTGCCCGGCGGAACAGGGTCACCAAGGTGCGCGTCATCTGCATCCGAAAGGGTAAAATGACTTGCCAAAAGTTGAAACCAAAGTACAAAGAGCAGGGCGAAGTGGGTACCTGCACGACATCGGACGCTCCCTGCTCCCCGATCTCGTTCAGCGTCTGTCCCTTGCTATCGTCTCCGGCCGGACTGATGTCGATCAGCCGGTTGAGCTTTGCCGCGGGATGTTCCCCGCTTAGCAGGACGTTGATGACCGGGGTCTCAGCGGAAGGGCTTGCCCGTCTGCTCCGTTTCAGTGGGGGGACTTCCTCCACGTCGGCGTCCGACTCCTTCTC